TGTTCATTTGTTCCCTCTTGTCTAATACACTTTACATTTACATCAAAATTAAATTAACTGATGCATCAAGATATATTCTAGAAATAACTTTTGGTCATTCAAAATATTAGTAAGAATCAGATTACTTTTATGTGATTTGCTATGTAAGTATCCTATAAACTATACCAATCAAAGCAAAAGGTATTTTTGTATCATACTTCTACATTCTTAAAGGTCACTGCATTCCCAAGTCATCTAACTGAGGTTAAATTTATTACTCATAGTGCAGGGGGCTGGAAATGTTATGAATCATACCACACACTTAGAGGAAAGCACCATTCAGTCAGCTCTTGATCAGTGTGAATTTGGTCAACATGGATTCACAACTAGAAACCCCTCCCCCCCCCCAAATCCAAAATATTTCATTGCAGTGGGAGGAAATAGATGTGCATGCTTTTGCAATAATCTAATATTCCTTTACAGCTGCTCTAACAGTATGTAGTTTCACATTTCTAAGAAGCTGGCATTTATATTGCATTTTAAACAAGCTCCAGAAATTTGATGCCAATACTGCACCAAGATTATTACTGTATGCTTCATAACTCTTAGACAATATCCCAACCCCTCTTCACCACCACTTTCACACATCATTTACATTTTTAACACTGACATTATTTAAATGTGTCTAACAATACTGTACTATACAACACCTGAATCTTCTAGTGGATATCATGAAGGTCCTATATCTTATCAATGTCTTTTATCCTAAATGTATGAGGAAAGACTAGCATGTCAAAATACTATTAAGCCACTCCCTCCCTCCCTTTCTCTCTCTCTCACTTGCAGCTCAGAAAAGGCACTGAACTAGTGTAAAATTGGGATAGGCAAACATTATTCACTAACAATACCTATCTGTATTTATGAATGTGTGAATTGCATGTGAAGAACATTTACACAAGTGTAGTCAAGTGTAGGATGAAAGCCAAGCTTACGGTACCCTATTTTGCTAATAATCTTTGCAATATAAAGTTCCGATGCATCCAGTGGTGTTGGCGCGCAATACTTGTTTTCTAGTTTATTCAATCCGTCTTCCATTGTTTCCAAAAGACAATTTTTGTATAATTTTAACATATTTGGTTTCATAATTTGTATTCTAATCTCTTGTTTTCAAGGTATGTATTTATGCACACATATTTATGTATATGTTGTACCTAATAGCCAGACTTTCCTAACAAGTTGATGTTATTTAAATAATGTTTTTCTAAGATTTTAACTTGTGAATTGATAAATACATCCACTTTAATAAACAAGACATTCATTTTTGTAAATTTATACCAGAACAAACAGTATCCCGGCCTAATATAAATACATCTGTATGCCTATTATTCCTTAATGCTGTAAGTAAATATAGGTTAAAACTATATGATTCCTTAATGCTGTAGGTAAATATAGGCTGTATAAAACTATAGCCAAATTAAATTAATAATTACTGCATTATATTAATTTGAAAATATACAAAATTATTTTGGTTATTAGGCAAAACTGTTTTGCCATAATAAGCCAAGTATTATTCTGGCTTTTAGGTATGACATTTGATATATATACATACATATATGTACATGTATACATACAGTATATTTTATCTGAAAGCTAAACATAACATTACAAATGTTCCTTTAAATACGCACACATAAGAAAACACACTGAACACCTAAGCATTTAAATTCATTCTTCATTCCTTATACACATGTAACATACACAACAAACATACATAACTGTATACCACACTTTTCTGATACACCACAAAACTTTTGCCTACAACCTGCCATATATTATCAAATACAAACCATTATTATTCCAACCAATTAGTATAGACTCAATAGCTACTTAGTCCTTCTTCCAGTTAAGTACATATACAGTAATTATATATCAGGATGATTTCCGAACTTTCCTCGAGTCAGTCCACAAATACAAATAGCCAGAGTACTGTTTTTATATGGAGAATATACTCTATATCTATAAATAACTTGTCATCAATATCTACCGGCACAAAAATGCACCACAGCCAAGTATCATTAGTTCACCATATATCAACCATTATTATTACTACAGTATTATATTATATTAAACTGTGACTAATATAATGCTCAAAAAATTGAATATACAGTACTGTACCTCTTTTTTTTTTAATATGGCTATGTTGGAAGATCTCATCTGCACTTGAGGCAACTCTTAAAAAACAAAAAATTATGCTATAACAAATGTTAACACCAGCATAGAATTTTAAATTTTCAACATAATCTTCTTTACTAAAGGAATATGTAGGTGCGAGCCCACATTCTTAAATGTACTGTAATGATTTTAAGAAACCACATTTATGTTCATACTGTATAAAGATTACTTAGTAATGCTAAAAGAAAAATATAATTTCTCAAATGATTTAACACTGAAGCAGTCCAATGATGCATTTTAGCATCGTTCATAATCTCTGTAATCGCTTCAACAGTGCTAAAACTTGTCATACAATCTCAGAATTTAAGAAATTCACTTCCATAACCATTCCTATTTGCGCTTTTATAACAAAACTCTCAAAATACATAAACTCTGCCCACACTGTGCTTATCTGGAGACCTACTAAAGTATCAGGGAAACATTGGTCGAGATCAACTCTTCCAACCAGTCAATTAGATAATAGTCTTGCCCGTGCCAATTTTATCATCGCTGTGCAAATTACCCGACCAAAATGTTGGTCAGGTTGGTCAAATACAAGCAATGTTGGTTTTCTTTCTCCAGCTGTATAGATTGATCATCTGTGAAGATATCTATATTTTCTTTATGATAAATGAGGAATGGTTAAATATTTACAAACTCTCATATATTCTGCACACACAAACTATAATGCACACACTATTTTTAATTCATCTATACTCTAGAGCATTCATTTCTGAACAGTTTAGCATAAAAGTATAACTCTATTCCCAAAAGTATATTTAGAGAACTTAACAAGAATAAACATTTTACGTGTCACTGAGTGGAGCCCCGAGAGGGTCGGACTGTGGGCAACCAGGCGTGAGGCGAAGGGCCAGACCATGACAGTCTTAATAATAAAATTTGTGTGTTTTGTAATCATTAATTGTTATTCCTATATTCATGAATTTAATCTTGTTTAAAAAACATTCAACATTCAAATTATGGTTAATAATTTAAATGAACTTACAGATTTTGTTAATTAGCAAGATTTTATTCTAATGAAATTTTGTCAATGTCAAATGTGTCAGGAGTAAACAGCATTGTCTTTAAGTTTAGTTTAGTGAGGACTCACTCCTAATATTGTACAGTAGTAAAATAAAAGCTTTTCAATCCTGAAAGGTATTTTCACGAACAAAGTGCCAAAAGTGTTGGATAATAAATCCTACAAAAGATAAACCAGAGATATTAGCCTAGTTTGTAGTATAAACATTTGTTGTCAACTAGTAATGACAACTTTCTTAGACCTGATGTGCAATACTCATCTCAAACATTTAACCCATCCACTTCCTATAAGTTTTATCCATCCTTTTCATACAAATTTTACACCTCCCTTTTCACATCATTACTGTAAAGAATATATATAAAGGCTCTCCGGGACTTCATACATTCACAACTACCCGTACTATATCAGAATGCTCACAAATAATATTTTATTATTTTTATTTTATATATTATTGCAATACTTGAACAAAATTGCCCACTATCCATAAAACATACAACTAAATAAAGTATATTAGTTGTTCTATATACAAAATATTTTTGATACTCAATACTGTAAACCACACCATCTCCTGCACCTGGTTCATCGTAAGAGGCTGGCACTAAAGTATCTGCAATTCTCACCTTGTATACAAAACTAAAAATTTCTTGAATGGATGAACACTTGGCAAGCACTAATAATCTTGGATAAGTACCGTGTGAGCTAGGTAATCCAAATTCCAGTAACCCGAAAGAATTTGTGTTCGTTCTTGACATTTTAATCTGAAAAGGAATTCGGGTTAAATGGTCATATACATCGTTTTTGAGTTATAGTGAGAGTTATAAAGTAAACAATGGGAGTTTGCTTGTAGCAATACGAATTATGTTTGTTGTGGTATAAAAAATTATGAATTTGTTCATTTTTGGACATTCCTGGTAAGAAATTCAGCCAAGATGAATGTCTGGGTAACTCAAACGGGCCTCATGTGATTCGGATTACCGAGTGTAGGCAGTACTCAAATTTTGATGGTATATGAGGAAGGAAAGATGAGGTTTTTGGATGAGCTTGTCCCCCAAAGGAAACAAATAATGTGCTATATTGTTACCTGACATTTTGACAAGATATTTTAATTTTCTAAATTAAACCACGGGGTAGAGTAGAACTGTTATCAAGACAAGAACTGTTGCCTTAGTGTCTTCTTCTGTGTCACACTTGTGGCACCTCCGGCTGATTTAGAGAAACATTGGAAAAGATGAGTGGATTATGCAACTAATTCACACACATTTTTTGAATGAGCAAATTGCTGTACTTTAATAGCTTTATCCAGGCAAATTGCAAATGGGAAAGTTGTAAAGTCCAGGAAATTGACATCTGAAAATGGCGTGGTTTACTGTAGCACAGAATATGGAAAGGGCAGCAGCATCTTTCCTGGTGTATCAATAGCTTAAAATTTCAAAGAATAATGACCATCCTAATGATTTTTGCTGCATAAGATTAATCTGAACCAAATGGTAAATAATATGACTAGAACCCATTTACATTGCATGAATAAGTAAGATTTGGCTGTTTTTTTGTATACTATAGTTTGCTATGCTATCCTTGGAATTCAATAGCTTTTCCTGCAATTGCAAATTTATATATACCCTTCATGTAGATTGTTTATGTAGTGTTAATATATATATATATATATATATATATATATATATATATATATATATATATATATATATATATATATATATATATATATATATATATATATATATATATATATATATATATATATATATATACACACACATACACACATATACATACATATATATATATATTTTAGCACACACAAAAGAACTTCAAAACATGGCACATGAATTATCAGTCAATGACACACAATATTACTTTTCCATTGTACATAATAGGTGAAAATATTTAACTATTTCTTGAACTTTCAGGAAGTTTGTTAAACCTATGGATCTAATGACTCGCTTATCCATGGAAAATTATCAAATGTCTCATCAAAGTCATTTTCATCAAGTGGACTAAAATTATTATTATTGGATAGCAAAGCACCATTAATAAAATTGTTTTTACCAATCTGCCGTTCAGAATTCACAGCCTGGTGATAACTATGGCGCAAGTTTCCAGTACTATTGAAGCTACATTTCTTTGGCGTACTTGTAACCAAATCACAGAAAAATTCTTCCTTTAAGTTTTCACACTGTTCAAGAAAGGTTTGTGTCAAGTGTGCGCTATCAGGCTGAGACTGGCGAGCTGCACTCTTGCTGGTACGAGATCTTGGCAAACCTGCCTGGCTCTCCTTTAGTTTCCTTTGACCAGTAAGAAACTCATCACTAGCACACTTCTTGTACACTCCATTCATCCCACTAATAACACTGGAGGCAACATTTTCTGCAGGAGCTGCTGCACCAACCTGCTCTTCATCCTCCCATGCCGTCCATCGTGGTCTTCTCTGCCCTCGAACATTTACCAGTAAAGGAGATACCGCCGTGGGCAGAGCACTAGCACTTACAGCTCCTTGTGAGCGTACTCGCCGTGGAGGAGGTCCACCCTGACCCCGAGCTAACCTCAGCAGGGGACTCTGCAGTAAGGGAACAGCAGCACCATTATGACCACTAGCTGAAACACTTTTCACTAAAGAATCATGATGACCTAGTCTGCCAGGATGGAGCAATGGCGAACTGGCTGAACGCTGGCCTGGTCGCCAACAGCTCTGATCTTTGTTGGGTGGCTTTAGAAGAGAAGAAGTTGGGGAATTATATATAGTGTGATGACTGATATTTATTTCATTTACACCAGTAGCCACCTTCTTGGGAGTACTTGTCAAACCAACAAAATCATGAAAACTCCGCCTGGTTTTACTTTCTATATATTCTTCAAGTATCTTCCTAGGAGATACCTGAAACAAACAGAAAATAAGTTCTCGGCATCATGTATGGTTTCTGCACAATGTCGACAGAATAGTGCATTCAGGCTATTTCTAGGCTTACATTTTAAATTCTACTCCATCATCAAGCAATCTTCCTTCAAGAAAAGTGAGCTCTTAGAGGGAAAAATTATACAAACACCACAAAATTATTTAGAAGCAGAAATGGAAATCTTATAAAAGGTGGCCTAGAGATTTTTAGAGGGAAAGTGCCGTGTGTCTTTATTGTACATTTATAAAAGCATTATAAATAGGATTCTTGGTGATTTACATTTGTGGTTCTAATAGAATATGAGTTATGTGGAGGAATTACATTATTAAAACTAATAAGCATTATTACTTTTAACATGTCCAACAGTAATAATAATAATGCTTAAATGTAAACCAAGAAACATAATGCTAACACAAAATCATAATAATAATAATAATAATGTGTTCCCAGGGAAGGGAATTTAACCATAAATATAATTAAGACATTTGAGAAGTAATGCCAACCAGCACCACTGACAGTGAATGGTGACTGTATGGCCAAAACGACTTTCAAGGCTTCATTTATGTCAAAATCACAATGAAAACCAACTGTAGAATGTTCCTGAAAATATCATATTCACTATCCTTATTATAAATGTTTATTAAAATTTGTTTAATTCATCTAAATACCTTATCCTGCAAAACAAATCAATTCTGCCCTCTAACCTTCTTATCTTTCACTTCGTCAAAATCATAATTTTGGAAGAGCTCTTCACGCTGCAGTTGGTAGAAGGAGTGAAGTCTAGCCATGGGGTCACGACGCAGTAGACTACTAATTACCGACCTCATAGCACCAGAGGCACAATCTGGAGGCTCATACTCATACCTAGACACAGCCAAGTTCATTGTCAGGTGATCATCAAAGCCACTGACAGGGTACTGCAAATCACAATGGTAATATTCATGTATACATAAATACAGTAATTTACATATTAACATACATTTAGAAATTGCAAATGCTGAATATAGTTCCCTAAGTTTAAACACTGACATAGGGAAAAGAAGTTCAGAAATGTCCCGTCACTCCTCACAGAATTAACTCATTCTCAATGACAAATTTCAAAATCAAAATTTTATTCATAGCTATTTACACATGATAAAAATAGGTTAACAACAACGGGACATGTTTCGTTCGTTGCTAATCAAAGGAGATATTCCTAGTCCCTAAGCTAAGGGATACCTGACCAACCAGGCTGCGACTCACACGTGAGGTTGCAAGCCGAACAGTCTGGTTGAGCAGACCACCAACCAGGAGGCCTGGTCAGAGACCAGGTCACGGGGACATTGATCCTCAGAATCATTAACAGGTATACGACAGATATAGGCATACCAAATCTAACAACACATACAATGATTATTAAACTAAGGTAAGGTCGCAGCCACATCAAAAATGTGCTGAGACATGAAACACCTTTTTCTGGGCTCTGTCGCAGTAGCTACCCAAGGTTATGCTCTGGCCTTCACTGATCAAATTTTGGTATTGTCAGTAGTTTCAAAGTGTTATATGACACATCCTGTAACTTCACTTAGGTAATTACAGACTCCTTGCATACCAAGAACACGGATCTTTGCAACCTCCCTCTTGTCCTCTCTATGAAGTGGGAAATGAATGGTAATCCAAGTCCAAGCCAATACCCAATAATAAGGTAAACTGGCCTAAATGCAATGAAAGGTCCTAAGACACTTCTCCCTCTGTAACTGACATTGATTGATGACATCTGTTTAGAATTCTCAATGCCAATTTCTTTGAAAAGCAAAGCATTTAGAATTTCCTGAGAACTTAAGGTCCTGCTTAGGGGTTATATGTTATTTACACTTCAAAACAATATATGATTATATGGTCTCTGTCCCTTCCCTCCCTCCCTCCCTCTCATATATTTTTTACACAAGGTGGTCCATGAACAGATTACTGCTGACACTTGTTAGCAGGTTGAGAGGTTTCCCATCCCATAAGTCATGTCAGGCCTTACCCACTAGTTTCTCTGAAATACAACCTGCCAATAATTTAACAAGCAGGTACCCAATCACTGCTGGGTGAACACAGGCATACAGTTGAGGAGTAGCACCTAGTCAATCCCCCCCCTTTCTCTCTCTCTCTCTCATTACTGCAACCACAACAGCTTGTCCCCAAGCAGTTTGATTTGAAGGGATTCCATTTTATGCCTCAGGTGTCCACTTGATGAGGCTATAAGCATCATTATTACTGTGTACTAACATGGCCTCACCTGTCCAGCTAGGAGGCTATAGGTGATGATGCCTAGTGACCACCAGTCTACACTATGATTATATTCTTCTCCTCGCAACACCTCCGGAGCTTTGGGATCAAAAAACAAAGAACTACTGTACTATAATTAAGTCTTCAATTTAAATCTAGAAATACCAAAATATAAGATGGAATAACAGCCCCTCAAAAAAGACTGAAAGTACTGTATTTTGCTCTCTATTGTGAGATTTGAATTTTACCCAAAGTTTTATTTTAATTTTACTATCAAACATCCATCAAATTAAAACATTTTAACATCTTTACACTTGACATGCATCCAAGCCTCCATAAGAACAGTACAAAACCTACCCATAAATTGAAGAGTGCCGCATATAGTGGTTGTTCGTCCACCGTAACTAAGCCACTTGGCCAGGCCAAAGTCGATAATTTTGATGTGACCATCAGCATCTAAAAGTATATTCTCCATTTTGAGGTCTCGGTAGATTATACCCGCATTGTGCAAGAAATCTGTTTTACAGAACAATGTATTACTATTTAACATGCAATAAATCTGGTGCAAATAATTATTAGCATGCAGAAGCATTTAATATATAAAAAACAAGTGCTGAATACAGCAGTTAATATATAAATACACTGAATGTAGATTGTTTTATATATGAAAAGGAGGAGTCTATAAAAATTAAAACCTAACCACAATATATGTGAATATTATTTTAAACAAATACAAACTGTTTACCAAATGAAATATAGACAAATAATGTGTAAAGTATTTTTTATGTGGGGGTCAGAGGAGACCATATCTGGAATTTTTTGGGTTAAATGTTCCTATTAACACACAAAGAAATATTGAGCCAACTTTGGCATATGAAATTTAGTTGAACTTTTTTGGAACATCAGTAATATCCAGAACCGTCTACAGTAAGTACAGTGGTACAGAAAGTAAAGTGATACAGTAAGTACTCTTGTACTCTAGTACACAAGACATGCTAAAAATGTAAATGAAATTCTTTTTATAAACAAATTGGCTGGTTTAACATGTGATAATAATGAAATAGTAAACAAAGTTACTTGAGGTATCTATAGGGCAACACTAAGTAAGAAGGGTACTTTTGCTAATACTGTATTATACATTGCATGTTTTGTTTCTTCATTGTGAACAAATAAATGAAATAATCAACAACAGAACTAAGCAACATATGTTTCTTCTAAGATAAAGTGTTCAACATCATAATGCTGTCTACCAATCTTACCAAGTGCAAGTGCAATCTGTGCTAAATAGATCTTGACAAGGTTTTCTGGCAGGCGGCCCAGAGATCGCCACAGCTGCTGCAGCTCTCCATAACCAACAAATTCTGTCACTAACACAGAAATAAATTGTGATAAAGCCATCTAGGAGGTACTGAAACAAGCATTTATCTATGGAAAACTAACTTTGTTATCTTCCAGTTATTGCTGATGAATTCCAAATATTGGCAAAATACCTAATAATATATTTAATTTTTTTTTAAATTTCATAGCAAAAGTGATACAAATCTGTACTATATAGACTGCTCTAACAGTATTTAACTGGAAGACATCAGACTATTCTTTCGTCAATTCTAGAGAAAGCCATGGGCAAAAAATTCTTGATTTATTTATTTATATATATATATATATATATATATATATATATATATATATATATATATATATATATATATATATATATATATATATATATATATATATATATATATATATATATATATATATATATATATATATATATATATATATATATATATATATATATATATATATATATATATATATATAAATAAATAAATTGAATCTCATGCACACACCTACTCCAAATATCATATAAACGGCAGAAAGTTTAAGGGCAAGAGGACACAGAAATGAAATTTTATACTGTAAATGGAGAGAAGAGATTTGTTAGGCATGAGTGAGACCTATGGCTTATTAGGTATGACTAATTTTATATATACTGGGGTAAATGGAGATATATATGGAGGGATAGATGGATAGTTGGATTGATAACAAATGGATTGATATATGAATAGAAAGATGGGTAAGTGGATGAAAAGAAGAATAGATTGATGGATAGATAAATGGTTAGATAGATGAAGAGATTGATGGATGGATAGACAGATAGACAAATATAGATGAATAGATAAATGGACAAATAGATGCATATATGGATTGATAGATAGATGAACAGATAGATGCTGGAGGGATAAATAGATGAATAGATATGTATCCATCCATCTGTCCATTTATCTATCCATCCAACTGTCCATTTATCTATCCATCCATCTATTCTCAAAAAGAAAGCAGCTAATATAGCAAACAACTCTGAAATATTGCAAAAGTAGCATTACAAATTACAATATTCTTATAGCTATTAGCTCAGTAAGGTGGTGTATTTATACGACAGCCATTTAGGATGAAACTAGGAGCACTAATTTTACCGAGGATTTTTACATAGCCTATATCTCCTGCTCATTCTTTGTTCATATTAAACATCGGTACATGTCGAACAACAAGACTTACTGACGAGAAGCAGCTTCCGTGTTTGCCAGAAGTGTATGAGTGGAGTGATGAATGGATGATGACTACACACGTGCTGGATCATCACTTCTTGCTTCACTTGACCCACCGCATCCAAACTGCACACCTGCAACAGTCACGTACTTAGTCAAACAGTATTACAAACTAACAACACACACACACACATGAAGTCTAGTACTTCAAACACTTTATATGAAGAAAACAAAATTAAAATTACACACTAACTTATTGATAACAACCAACTCCAATTTTAATAAGTTTTTCAGTTTATTAAAAGTTTTGATGATAAACCAAAAAATAAGAATAATCGTAGAGAAAACAATCATACCTGCGATTTTGAGAGGACTTTCATGGCGTACTCCTTGTTGGTAGTGGCACATTTAACATGGAATACCTGTCCAAATGCTCCTCTGCTAACTTCACCTAAGAACTGGAATACATTAAAGGAAACCAATGAACAAAAATAAAACTTCACTGTAGCAATGTGCATTTTATATATATATATATATATATATATATATATATATATATATATATATATATATATATATATATATATATATATATATATATATATATTGTATTGTATTGTATTTGTAAACTAAAGTCTTTGAAAATGTAATAAGTTTTACGAAACGCGCTCGTGTCGCGTCAGACTAGAAATAAAAAAAAAAAAAAATATATATATATATATATATATATATATATATATATATATATATATATATATATATATATATATATATATATATATATATATATATATATAAATCTATGTAGAAAATGTCTGCCTGCCTGTCTGTTAAAAGTTGAAGGCCACATGGTTGGGGCCAGGCTCACCCAAATTGGCACATGGAATGGTCTGGGGTGTGGGATGAACATAGGCTGGTTAACATTGCCAGAATTCAAAAGGGAATAGCATGCCAAGGTCCCATTCAGACCCCCCCTCCCCTTCCCGATGATTTTTAGCACTGTCCACCATCTACACGGCTAAATATTTTCAAAAACTTTTCAATAAGTTCTTTTTCTTATGATACTGACTGAATAACCGAAAGGATTATTTATACCGAGGATTTAAGGATACCGAAAACCTTTCCATTGGAATCTTTCGGTGACGTGGAGAGGGGGACCTGCTGCCTGTGTAACAGCTTCTCCTCCGTATCAACCTACCCTGGCTTTGCGCCCTGGTGAGGCCACTTCAGACCGACAACCAGAGCACAGCACCTTAGTCTCCTGAGACTGATGGATGCCTACTACTACTATATGGATGGATATATGGATGGACAGATGAATAGATTTTAATGACTGGTATATAGTCTACCTTTCGTTATTAGTGTATTATTCTAAATGTTTTGTCTTGAGTTTGTATTGTCCTATTTCCTGTGTTTCCCAGTAAATATAATGCAAGCATTGTGGTTGTTTTAAGTACAGTATTGCCAATTCAAATTATGGTGCTGGCGTGTGAGGTGTTTATAATAAACACCTTGTTCTATATTTCTGATTTAAAGTAACATACATATAATAAAAGTAAGGAAGATGATAATCTGTTTGATAATATTACATACTGAGTTATTAAGAATAAGTGATTTTCCATCAGTTCTTCTTCCCTTACAAGATAATGATAAATAAATGGCAAGATAGAGGGATAGATAGATGGGTGAGTGGATGGATGGATGGATACACACACATACATCATTGTATGTGTTGATTGACAGTTAAGAGGCAGGACCAAAGAGCCAGAGCTCAACCCCCAGCAAGCACAACTAGATGAGTACATACATACACACAAGTAAACATTTGATGTCCTCTGAAAGCACACCAAGAATGGAAAAGTATGCATTTAGTTTTCTCACGGAAGCCACGTAAGTCTATATATCACCAGGGAACAGTAGCTTTTTCATGCTCCAAGAATAGTAAGAGTAGAGAATAGCTACTCATATGACACATGCAAAAATACATTTATTGCATAGTACTATAATTAGATACAGTATTATAAAAAGATCATACACGTTTAATTTATGTGCAGTAAAGACGATATGCAGGTTTCCGACAAATAGTTTGTACATAACAAAACATGTCAACACTCAAGCGAGATCTGTGGAAATCAAAAGAATCATGCATTCATGTAGTGGTGATCGAACGAACCCAAATACTGCATATGCCTAGCACTAATACTTCTTTAATGCCATGTCCTTGTGAGAGCAAGATATTAACTATGGGATCAATTACATGATATAGTATTAGCTCAGAAGAAATATTCTGTACACCTCAGCACACACAGTTTCAATTCCTTCATATAGCCTCATCATTAACTTATAGATCCATTACATTTTTTGTGATTTCACTATGTATACCAACACAACAATAAACAGCTGTACTAATGGAAAATGTTTATGAACATTTGTGCACAAATTCATTTACCAGCTCGTGCCTGGATCACTTTGGGGTGCTGGGAAGAGAATGAACTGTGAATGCCAAGTATTAACTACAATTTTATTCAGTTTTATAATACTTACAATTAGTTTCAGCTTTTCCTCTATGCCTACAGGGAATTCTGGGAGAAAGAGGGCTTCAGTCTGGGCTACTGGCCACACAGTTTTGCTGTGTGCATACTCATTCTCAAGAGTTGACTGGTGCCATCTGAACAAGATAAAATAATGTAGTTACCTATCAAGATCTACCTTCCTACTGATTTGTTTGTAGGTGTGTATACCATTGTAAATAAATGTACCCACATACCCTTTTTTTAAGGTTGATCTACAGTTTAAAAAAATCATGGTAAAATAACATCCTTAAAACTATTTATGAATATATTGTAGTAGTTTGAAGTAGTTGGACATGCACACAAATCCCATTAAACAATACTTTCTTGACAATACAAAGACCGCAATAAGCTTGCTATATATTCCTGTCAAAGTATGCAAACTATTGAAAGATTTAAGCATGACAAATCTTTTAAAATGCTATAAATTACACATCTTCTGGGTTTAAATGAAGATGGTGAACATTGATGAAACTATCCAAAGATGGTTCATTATATCAATCAAATCTTCAGAAGGAAGAACTGATGACTCAAAAGTTAATTACCTTTTCCTTGATACTCTGGACCATGGTCGCCGGTTGGACTCATTGGCAGGTGCAGAGACAAAGGAGATGACAGAAAGGCCACTTAAAACAGAGAAGCGATGGGTCAAGTTTGTTGCGATGTCCACAATGCTGAATTGCTAGTGAAAAAAATTGAATATATTAAGAAAGACAGGAGTGTGTTGTGGGACTAAATGACTGTTTAGAGCATGTGAGCATAGGATAATTTATTTAAGAATACACAGCTGATACTGTTTACTGGATTCTTTAAGAAGATGTTATAAGTTTAGGATGAAGTTTCTTTTTTCATTGGTATCTTTATGCAAATGATCACATTGTTTCTTTATAAATATTTTAAGTAATAACCAAATATGCAATTTCCAAAAATAGAATGTTGATCAAAATGAAAAACTTCTGAATGTGCTTATTTAAGGAGAAAAAATCCCTTCGTGTATTTGAGACCTGTTTGGCCTACCGAGGACCAAAGCCAAAACCTGACCCCCCTCTCACTGATGCACATGAAGCTAGGGAGTATTACGATCACCCCACACTAAGAAAGCATCCAGAGAGTAAGCAAGGCAATATAAACAACTGTGGTGGAAAAGGTTGAACCAACAAGGTATGTCACCATGCTGATCTGCTGAAAGAGGCAGAGCCAGCCATCAAGGAGCCAGAAGAATCACCTTCCCTGAAAACATCTCCAACCTGGACAATATCATAGCAGCAACTGAAGTGAGAGGGATAAGATAGACGAATCCCCTCTCAACTAGTCTAGCCAAAAACCATCCACCATAACAGCCTCACGGTCAGGTAATGGAGCCACACAGGAGGGAAACGGTGGGTTTCATGCTAATGTGAAGAAGTCCATCTCGGGGTGACCAAACATTTCGCAAAAGGATGCATCGTTGATGGTCCACTCCATGGAAATGGGACAGAAACGAGATAACCATCCAGAAGAAAGTTGGACACACTTCGCACATCATCCGCACAGAACCAAACCCCAAGAATTCAAAAGCTGAGCTTCGTGCAGAGTCCACGTTCAAAGAAGGAAGGCGTGAAATGATTGCCTGTAGTTCAACAAATAAACGAATGACTCACAAGGGAACATCCAGAGTGGAATTGGAAAATGGAACCCAGAGGAAGATGAACCTATTGAAGGGCTTGCTACAGTGCCATAAACTCATGTATCATAGGGGAAAGAGAGGCCAACTAAGAATCCCAAACCAGGCCCAACCATGTCAGAATCTGGGACAGAACCAACTGGGACTTCTACCAGTTCGCCAAGAACCTGAACCTAGCAAGCTGGCATGAACACAGCTACAAAGAGCATCAGTAGTGCGGCATATGAACAAGCATGCGACCCCATGACCACCCAAAAACAATAGTATCCCGAATGCTCCTAACCACAGAGTTACACTGAGGAGTCAGAGACTCTTGCACTGCTCAAGGTGAAGTTCTCCACTCTGATGGCCTGTCCTTTCGAGAGTGAACTCCAGAACACACCAGAGAAGTTATTCAGTCAATGCAGGGGTAACACTAAACAAGTGCTTAAAGAAGAGCCGCCCTAAACGCATGCAGCTTGTAGCGAAGATTAGACCAAGTCCACACAACAAGTCAGGCTTATGAACACATGCAGATGAAGCAAATACTAAAGGTTAAGAATGGCACACAAACAAATGGCACCCCACAGGACAACATCCAAAGGATGGCCTACACTTTCCTTTGAATAGATGTGGGATTTGCTATGTCCTGGTGACTTAGGAATGTTTAATTGTTTAGACATCAGTGACAGGATTGACTCATTGCTAGGATGAAAGCCTGGAACTCCTGGGAACCACCTGTAGGTGGTCATTTGTGCTAGGGACATTGAGTTAGTTTTAAGTGAATCATTTGAATTTGAATGAATCTTTTTGCAGTGTTGTTTATCTGTTTTGGTGGTTAATTTTATGTGAATCTTGCAATTTGTACTGCCTTGCCTTACTTTCTGGATGCTTTTTCTTGGCATGGGAGATCATAACAATCCCAAGTTCCCTGTGCCATTATGAGGGAGGGTGGCAGGGGCTAGGTTCTGACCCCTAGTCTCCAGTAAACCCAACAGGATGCCTATGGCCGATGTGGCTCAGTAGGAGGAAGACATCTCAGCAAGATAGCACTCTGGTAACAACTATTACCACTTACACTACTGTCCTCCATTACAAAATAGCAGCACCCTACTAGGCAACAGGGTCAGAAGGAGCTGTCACCCACTAAGCCCAGACCTCCTCAGCAAGCTAAGCAAAGAGTTAAAAAGGGTGGGAATTGGAGTACTTGAAGGAATGCCTAGAAAGTAATATTTCAATAACTCAACACCTTATTTCTGAGCTGAAGCTCCATCAGATGTACCTTAAAGTAGTTCCCCACATTCAAGGAAATCCCTGTACAATTTTTTTTTTAAGCAAGATGTGGGTGTGCAAGTGGGTGAATGTGTGGATGTGTAAGTGGATGGATGTGTGAGTGGGTGGGTGTGTGGAGGTGTGCGAGTGGGTGGGTGTGTGGAGGTGTGCGAGTGGGTGGAGGTGTGTGAGTGGGTGGGTGTGTGAAGGTGTGTGAGTGGGAGGGTGCATGCATTGGTAGGTGGTTTGTGGGTGGGTATGGAGGATGTGAGTGAGTGGGTAGGTGGGAAACAATAAGCAGTTTGGTTATGTATATATGTGTGTGTGTGTTGAGGGGGGGGGAAGAGACGAGTGGGCGGGTCATAGTGCCAAATTTATCAAAGGAAAATATAGTAAGAGTAATCAAATAATAGTGTAACGGAATTTTCAATTATTGGTCACTAAATAAAAACATATATAAAATGTATTATACAAATGCATTATAAGATGTCTATTTGATTCACAAATATCACAGAATTATACCATATATAAGTGTTTGATTAACTTAAGGACATACTGTATACTGTTGAATACAATACGGTGTAGTATTGTGCAAGTAGAATAAGTAGAACCAATGTAACGGTTCTATTGTTATGTAAAGTATGGTGACAATAAACACAGACACTAAGAGAATATATGTATTTGGTCGAGTATACAGAAGTATGCAGGTGATACAGTACTTTGGCGAGCAATGGTGTGAGTTACTACTTGCACTAATATATTATATAGAAGGTACACAACCTCTTCGCATGAGCAACTAAATAAAATACTAGTGCTAAAATCAGATTTATTTAAGGGACTGGACATAATCCTTTCATTTGAGCAGGAATTCACTGTTCAATCAATGAGTGATGATCTGGTTTTACTCTTCTATATGATAGTTGAATATCCCAAAATTTGCAAACACTTCCTTTGAATTTCTTGATATGCACTCTATCTATAGTTACACACTGTCTTCACTAATGAACAAAGTGCTGCAGTGCCCCAAATTTCCATTTACCAGAATTTACCTGATTATTTAATTATTATGGTACCAAAGTTAGTTTTAAAGAAAGTGTATAAAAAGGCAGGATGAGGAGAATGGGAGGATGAGTAAGATGAGTAAACTGAGGAAGGCTGTGAGGACAATAAAGACCATGAGGATGTGGATAAAAGAAAAGCTGTGAGGACAAGAAGGACTGTGAGAACATAGAAAACTGTGAGGAGGATGTGGAAGATTGGGAGTCAGACAAGGAAGACTGCGAAGGGGACAATAAAGACTGGGAGGAGAAATGAGAGTGTGAGAAGGATGAGGAAACTGTAAAGATAATGAGTAAGGATTAGGAGGATGAGGAAGACTGTGAGGGAGACTAGGATGAGGAAAACTTTGAGGGTGAGGAGGAGGATGAGGAAGACTAAAAGGGTGAGAAGGATGGGGAAGGCTGTGAAGGTGGTGAGGATAAAGAAGACTATGAAGATGAGGAGGGCAATGCAGACTGAGAGGTGAGGAGGACAAGGAAGTCTGAAAGTGAACAGCACAAGGAAGAATGTGAGGGATAGAACAAGGGAACACTCTGAAAGTGTAAAGAACATGGAAGAGGCAAAGGGTAAGGAGGATAAGGAAGATTGTGAGGGGTAAGGAAGACAAGAGAAAAGACAGAGTGAGGAAGAGGAGGAAAATACTGAGGGTGAGGAGGATGAGGAAAATACTGAGGGTGAGGAGGACGAGGAATACTGTAAGAGCAAGGAGGACAAGGAATACTGTAAGAGCAAGGAGGACAAGGAATACTGTAAGAGCAAGGAGGACAAGGAATATTGTAAGAGCAAGGAGGACGAGGAATACTGTAAGAGCAAGGAGGATGAGGAATACTGTAAGAGCAAGGAGGAGAACGAGAATGTCTCTGAGGGCTGAGGGTGCGAAAGACTGTGAGGACGAAGAGAAGAATGACTTTGAGGGCGAGAAGATTCTGAGGACGAGGGGGATTTTGAGGGTGAGAGGACTTAAGAGGGTAAGGGAAAACTGTGAGGGTGAGAGGACTTAAGAGGGCGAGAAAGACTGTGAGGACGAGGTACCTCAGAGAAGCTGTGAGGGTGAGAGGACTCAAGAGCGTGAGAAAGACTGTGAGGACGAGGTACCTCAGAGAAGCTGTGTCGGTGTCGTAGCGGAAGCACCGTGCGGGCCCTGGCGCCGCCGCCGCCGCCACCCCCTGGCCCCTGCCTCTTCGCCAGCACTCCTCCCATCAGGACAGGCGCCTCCTCCTTCCTTGGTCGCCGTCGCCGCCTCCGCCACTCACACAAGTCATCCTCATGTCAGTCTAGCGGGTTTAGGCTCAATTTCATAAACGAAACTGCGGCCGAAAATTCTCCATCTTCGATTTGTGTTCGATTTGTTTACATCCTTGGCAGAGACTACAGATCTAAACATACATTACTTCCTCGTGGGGAGGTTTTGTCTTTTGGATGTGGTCAAAGTAGGTGGGAATATTTGTTATATTTCTCCATTCATATTAATAATATATTTACTTGATTTATCTCACGTGCTAAAATAGTTTTAAGCATTTTCAGGGTCAGTGAGAGTAGCCCGCTGAAGTAGAGTAGCCTGCACGTAGGTCATGTAATAATTAATTCATTGTGTTCCACATATGTCAGTTGCTTAATTTGGAAACTGTAATTGTGGTCGGTCTCGAGCCCATTGATGATGAGATGATGTGCACTGAATTTTGTAACCAGCTCATCAAGAAGATTGCAACTTGCTTAGCTAAATGAATTGTGAGGACCAGTCCCTGAGCCCATTATGTGCCTCTGTAACACTTTCCACTACCGCCCACAGGATGGGTATGGGGTGCATAATACATGAACTAAACTAACTCGGGGGAACAGACAGCCGGTATACACATACAGTACATGTTATAGGCTTATACTTACGGGCTATTCATGCCCGTGCAACCTTTTGGGTGACTTAATCTGTATCAATCAATCAATTAGGCTTATACCGAGGTCCACACCCAGGTTCGAATTACTTACCTTCCCCAGGATGCCACCCTACGACAAGCTGACTAACCCCTGGGTTCCTATTTACTGCAGAGGTGGACGGGAGCATTAGGTGATAGGAAACGCGCCCAACCATTTCTGTCCCGTCCGGGATTCGAACCCGGAATTCTGGTTTGTGAGTGTGAGACTAGCATGAACCCGACTGAACTATCGGGATCCTTAATAATTATAATATATTATTTATAAGATATACAAAGGAACATTCTTTCACTGAAGCATGTTTCAATGGTTACTCAGTAGGTATAGTAATTGTATATTACATAAAGCGCATAACTAATGCAGCTAAAATAAAAATTATAGCCTGTGTATCTATATATATTAGCCTTGAATCGAACCCTCCCCCCCCCATCCCAAAAAAGGTCGAACTACTGACCCTCCCTAGTTACCTATAACAGTAACTCCCGGATACCTATTTACTGCCAGGTGAACAGAAGCACTGGGTGAAACGAAACGTGTCCAACCATTTCTGTCCTGAACGGGACTCAAACCCGGGATTCCCAACTGAGTTGAAAACCTGAATTTACCTCAGGACCACTAACACTAGTGATCTCGACGAGGACAGGAAGCCGGCGGCTTCTCAAAGATTCCCCCTACCCATCCATTTGCCCTGATGATCTTTTACAGTTGGAATTTAAAATTTAACAGTTTTGACAGTTACGACTTCCGTGGGTAGGCGGTTCCATTGGTTTATAACCCTGTGGGTGAAAAAGCATCTCCTGTTCTCAGTCCTACATTGTGGCTTCTTGAGCTTGAACCCGACTAGGAACCCAACTCTACTACCGAGCCCACAGGTCTACTTTTTGCAATAAAATGCTACGCTCGCCCTATTTCATCATCTACTGTACACACGGTGGCCATGTGGCATCATTATGAGCTTAGCAGTATCAGCTCTCATTACATATCAAACAAGCTAGGATGTATCTGAAGCTGGAGTGTACAGTTGATGAACTACTTTACCAACGCCAAAGTGTATGGAGCGTATATGTAAAGCTTGATCTGGCTTCATTACTAGCCTCCAGACTTCCTGTTCATTCAGTGGAATCCCAAGTAGATTGTGCTACTTATACACTTTGGTGATAATAATAATAATAATAATAATAATAATAATAATAATAATAATAATAATATTAATAATAATAATAATAATAATATTAATAATAATTTATTCACAAGAAGGTACAATGGGTTGGTGAAATTACATAAGCTTGGTATTTTTACATTCATGTAAAGCCACTAACACGTATAGCGTTTCCGATATGTCCTTAATCTAATATATCAGGTAAGGTGAACGAGCACATTGTAGCAAGGTTTTTATATCAACAGATAAATATAACATAAGTTGACAAAGGTGATTTACACTGATAAGGATATGTCTTAAGTACTAATAATGTGGAAGTGGGCAGTACAAGATACAGTGTGAGTTTGAAGCACAAGGAAGGAAACTGAGGATGAAATTAGGTACTTTTTTATTTTCCTTTTAAACAGGGCATGGGTTGGACAATTTTTTAATTCATAAGGGAGTGAGTTCAAAAGACTTGGGCTCTTTTATTTGCATGGAGTGTTTGCACATATATAGTCTGACTCTGGGGATATCAAAGAGATATTTATTTCTGGTGTGGTGCTCATGGGTTCTATTACACCTACTAAGGAAAAGTTTCAGATCAAGATTAGCATTTAGGAACAAGGTTTGTACATGAAGATGGCACATGAGAACGTGCTATCATGTTTAGCATGTTAAGGGATTTAAATAGAGGGGCTGTGTGGTGTCTGAAGACAGAGTTAGATACAGGGGTAAGGTGCGCGGCTGGGAGTACTCTGATCGCTGGTTCGATATCCAAAATATGAGAGTTTATAAATTAGTAAAGTAGGATCTATTAAAAAAAAAACGTACTGTGAGATGTCGAATGATTCCCTCCCTTAGGATTCTCTCCATAAGCTTGCAGACATTATATGTAAGGGTCCTGATTAGTCGATATTTCTGCCTTTTGTGAGGATGGGGGTGACATTTGCATACTTCCAATCTAAGGGGACTTTCTCTTTGTCCAGTGATTTTTATTAATAAGACTTTTCATTGGTACAGTTATCTTGAGGTTATCTTGAGATGATTTCGGGGCTTTTAGTGTCCCCGCGGCCCGGTCCTCGACCAGGCCTCCACCCCCAGGAAGCAGCCCGTGACAGCTGACTAACACCCAGGTACCTATTTTACTGCTAGGTAACAGGGGCATAGGGTGAAAGAAACTCTGCCCATTATTTCTCGCCGGCGCCTGGGATCGAACCCAGGACCACAGGATCACAAGTCCCGCGTGCTGTCCGCTCGGCCGACCGGCTCCCGTTCATTGGTCAGTTCCTTTACTATCTTGGATTGACTTACATCCACTACAGGGGCTTTAGATTCCTTTATATTTGTCAATGCTCTTCCCAATTGTTTCGCAGGTTGTGAATATCCTCCAATTCATTCTTTACAAGCCGTACAATATTAATTTCTCTCGGTATTAATTGTCACGAAGTAGTCTGGGAAGGCAGCACACCACATATAACTATTGTCCCAAATAAATACAACTCATAAGGAAGGAACAGCAACACAGAAATGGAAGTATAATACATGTAATATGTGATAAGACTATAACTGGTAACATGCTCTTCACTAAATACGCATCACTGCAACAAGAAATAATGCATAAATATCACAATCATAGCATGCCCAATCGGAATTAAATACCCGTGAATATCGCCTGTACTAAGAGGCACCAGGTCACACTGGTTAACACTGAGAGACAGCTCAGTAAGAATAGACACGACACTAAGAACTAGCACAATGAGTGGAATATAAACAATATATGTGGTGTCGGTTAAAATGGTCCACAATCGACTTGAGAATGGTCCAGGACGGACCGAAACGTCGTCGTCCCTTCACCTTCTAGTGTGTGGTCTGGTCAACATATATTGACAATGTAATAGTGTAAGCCAGGACAGGACGGGTATGGGGAACGGGGCACGTAAACTTAATTAAGTAATTATCTACAGAAGGCAAAAAGCAGGGACGACTATGTAGTATCGTCAATTGTTATGCTGGGCACACATGATCTCTAAACAAAAATTTACGCTACGCTCTCTGCAATTAGTGTATGAAAGAGGTAACTTTTTTACATATACGTCATGGATAAGGAGGGGGAACTCGTTATATTCTCTATTATACAAAGTAAATGAATAAGAAAATGAAATTCAGTGCGTATCATTATAAAAAAAACAAATCCAAACTCATAATAGGAACTGTTTGCTGGGCTTTGATGCTTAAAATATTATTTGCTTAAACATAGTTAATAATAATTTATTTTTTATTTTAACAATCTAAAACTATTTATTTTATCAAGATTTGTAACAACAGCGCTATAACTATTACAATTTAATGCTACAGCTACTAGTATTGTTACATCTACTGCTAACACTACTACTATTAACACTTATTTAACTACATTAAATCACAGTGAACATTAACAACACTATCCTTGTTTACAGCTAGGTCAGTACAGTGCCAACAACACTTATCTGATGGTATCAATATCAACATGAACACATTCAAAACAAAGTTGAGTGACAGAATATCACGTTAAAGCTTGTCAACACATAAACTAACGTGTAATGAAAAGCAAACATTGAGGTGACTAGACCAGGTCAGCCCTCGGAGCCAGTAGAGGTAGTCCTGGATACATGTTTTCCGCTTCTCCACGTTGTCCAGGTCAGGAAGCCTGATCCCAGCCAACTGGCCATTCATAAGCATGCAATCCACAAGTCGAAAAGCTTCCATATACATACCTATTTACTACTAGATGAACGTGTCCAGGAATCGAACCCAAGACCAACTAGTCGTGAGCCGACTGTGCTTCACGTAAATATCTTGATAAATATCTTCACGTAAATATCTTAAATATCATCTAAATCTCTATCACACTTGAGGATTTTACTTTATTTAGGTACTTATTAATTATAGAAAGGAAAAAAGGAAAATAAAACTTGAGATGGAGAGCTTATCATGGATGCGAGTCTGGAAGTGCCAACTTACATCATGCTCCTGAGATAAACATCAAAGGCTGAGATTGGCCGACTGTGTTGACACTTGTGTAGACGGGATAGTGACAACTTCAAACACAAGAAACCAAAACCCCCTTAGAGGTATACATAGACCCATTTGGCGTATCGTCGGAGACTCCTAGGAGCACGAGCCATGTATCTCGTCGTCAATCCAGTTGATGTACTGGTCGAGTCGGGTGTAGATACCTGGGTATCTGGCGGAGCCGCAGCCGTACCCAGTGCTGACGATACCCACCTCCTGCTTCACTCCGCCCTCCGTCAGTATCAGTGGACCCCCAGAGTCGCCCTGAAGGAGAGACCCGCACACACCATCCTTGTCAATTGCCAGTGGCACTATTTTACCGAGTAATTATTGGTGTTAAGCATGTTATCAGTTGAAATACCTTAAACAGAAAGAAGATACAAGTGATATGGTACTAATACCCGTTTTATATTACTACTACCGATATTATTGGTATTACTACTACTACTAGTTGTAGTACATTCATTGCTTCTACCTTATCTACTAAATTCTAAAAGGCGAGAAACCTAAAGCCTAAAGGAGAGAAGAAACAGCGGGGCTATGACCACTACATACAATATATTGAAGAGGGGAACATGCACAATGGACAAGGACAGCATCTTTAAAGCGAAAGAAAGCTAAACCAAGAGGACATAGGGAGAAGCTGTAAAATACAAATGAATCGAGAAAAATGGAATGAAATATTCGTACATTATATTGATGGTTAACAAGTGCACTGACAGAGGAAGTTGTGGAAGCCACCTCCATCCACAACTTTAATGGCAGACTTTACAAGGGATTCAATTGACAGCAAAGTTCAATCAAAACTCAACAACACGAAAACAAGGCTAGTAGGCATGGCATTAAAAGCTAGCTAGATCTAACTTTCCTATAGTCACTGTCAGGCAAACACAAGCAAGCACTACCACTCCTACACTCACCACTTCTATCACAACCCGTACTATCACCAGCACAACTACCACAACCACTACTGCCACCATCAGCACAACTGCCACAACCAATACCACCCCCACTACCACCACTCTCACCACATCTTCTACAACCACCTCACCACTACCACTTACCCTGCACACGTCATTAAGCTTGCCAGCACAGAGGAGCCGCGTGTCAATACCAAGCGGGTAGTCGATGTCAACGATGGGTTTTATGTCGAGGTCGTTGAAGTAGATGTCGCTGCACTCCTGCTGTGAGAGCACTTGCACCGGCAGGTCGTGGAGCACCGTCGACACCGCTCCTGAGAGGCGAGACATCAATCTTACATGCTGGGCCTTGTCAAGAGCCATATGCTGTGACCTTCACGGCCCACGTTCCTGCCTCTACAGTATATGGGTGCTCCTACACCCCCCTAGTATGACCACAGCACCCGATTGCTCCTACCACCACCACCACCACCACAGGGCTACCACCATTACAACCACTACTACTATCACCCCCACTACCAATATCACCGCTATTCCCATGCCAAGCTCCCAGCCTTCTATGGTCACCCGAGCCCTCCTTACCTCCAGGTCTGCGGCCCCAGCCCGAGACAGTGCAGATGCGACCCACCAAGTCCTGTACTTGACGCGGTAGACAGAAAGGTCTCATTGCTGATGTAAATTCCACCTGCAATTGAGATGTATTGTTTTGTTTATTTTGTAGAAATGTTTAAAACTACTAATATTAACAACTATTACTTCCAACTTGAACTACACCTACAGCTAACAATTGCTACTACTACTTCCATTAATAACTGCTATTAATACCACTACCAGTAATAACTACGAACATTAACTGATACTACTTCAATTGACTGTGAAGGAAAGACCCAATGGGTAAGTGTATTAAAAACCAAATTTTCGGATGTAACCTACATCCTTTCTCAATATCCTGTATACATTTCTCCACTACTTCAATTACTACTACTAGAAATAACTTCCATTACTAACAGCTTCTACTACTACTACTGTTACAATAATTCCAAATTCTGTAACAGCTGTAACACTACTGTAACAATAATTCCTATTTCTACTGCTAACAATAGCCTGTAATACATACACTCCACCTTACCTTAGTTTTGAGGGTGATGATGGCTATGTCGTTGTACTTGGCAGGGAGGGCATAACCTTCGTGGACCTGGATACCCGCCACCTGGTAGTCGAAGGCCTGGCTCTCTCCCACCTGCTCGAAGTCCACCTCTCCAAGACGCACCACTGAGGGCCTGAGATCAACACAATGCCAACCTGAACACTTTATTCTTCATATGTGCATAAATCCAGTGATTATGTTTGGTTATTTATCATAATAATACAGTAATGATACTTTACTCTTATCATAATAATACAGTATTGATACTTTACTCTGTTAGGATATTGTAAATTATCTTAAAATATTAATTTCAGGTAAAACAATAATATAAATTCAGGTAAAAAATATTATAAAACCAGGTAAAGATACTATAAATGCAGGTAAAAAATACTATAAATGCAGGTAAAAAATACCATAAATTTAGGTAAAAAATACTATAAATTCAGGTCAAAATATAAAATAATCAGGTAAAAAATACAGGCAAAATTTCATAAGGTAATGTGTTATCTGCTTATACATCCCCTCCACTGAATTGTAATGTTCATCCTTCTGAAGATATGTTGATTAACACGAAAGTACTTATGGAATTTATAGTTTCATTTTCCTTCGTGGTTAAACATTGTCACATTATTCATCACGTGTTAGGCTGTTCGTGATTTTCACACACACACACACACACACATATATATATATATATATATATATATATATATATATATATATATATATATATATATATATATATATATATATATATATATATATATATATATATATATATGTGTGTGTGTCAGACCACGGAGGAAGAATTGAAACAGGAATTTCCTTAAGTACTTTCGTATATTAATATATCTTCAGAAGGAATGATTTACAAGTCAAGTATTGTACAAATATATAGGCAGGAGAGAGAGATGAAGTGAAATGAGGTACAATGAAAAATGAATGGGAATTAGGTGGATATCAATAAGAGCCGCATAAGAATTTCTGCAATTCGAGGCAGCTATTTATACCTACTTTAGTGGGTTATATGAATTGTAACAACACATTCTGAAACCCTTTATTTTCATTGTATAATTCTAAATCATAAAATTTATTGAATGATTCTGCAATGAACTATAAATGAATGATGTATTCATATAAACAAAACATTATTATATGCGTTATATTAATAGACAAAAGTAACAGAAAGGGAATAGCCTAAATATATTTTGGGACAAAGCATGTTATCATTTAAGCGTGTTTGCACCGACAAAATTTCCAAATAAAATACTGTATTACGTCAAGCAGAAGGAAATAGGCTTCCTAACCATGTGAATGATTATTTGCCTGAGAGGCACCATCTCTAAAGTAGCTTTGGCGGTGACAGTGAGCTAGAGGCTTTTTAAAGGTCATCCACCCCCTCCAATTATTCCTTGATTTTACGAAGTCTATTTAATACTTACTTGGCAAACCTGACTTGGCCCGTGTTGGAAACGCCAGAGATGACCAGACAGTGAGCTGCAGTCAGAATGTGGTAAGGGGAGATGAGGGAACCCCCGCACGCGAAGGTACTACGACTTCTCAGGGTATTATCAGTTACTGGAATGGGGCCTACAGATACACCTTCATCATCACCAGGGGATTCTTCTGCACTTCCATCATCACTAGGTACTTTCCCTGTAGTTCCCTCATCACTAGGTTTTTCCGCTGAAGCTTCACCACCATCAGGTACTTCCTCAGTACCCTCATCATCACCAGGGGCTTCTCCAGCACCTCCATCATCACCAGCAACTTCTGAAGCACCACCAATAATTCCATCACCAGATAAATCTCCGGTATCAGATGCAGTTCCAGCTTCAGAAATTGGAACAATCCCAGCACCAGGAACAACTCCAGCAACCGAAATATTTCCAACATCCGAAACATTTCCAGCACCAGAAACTGTTCCAGCATCAGAAACAGTTTCAGCACCAGAAACAGCTCCATCATCAGAAACAGCTCCAGCATCAGAAACAGTTCCAGAACCAGAAACAGTTCCAGGACCAGAAATTGTTCCAGCATCAGAAACATTACCAGCACCAGAAACAGCTCCAGCCCCAGAAACAGTTCCAGCACCAGAAATTGTTCCAGCATCAGAAACATTTCCAGCCCCAGAAACAGTTCCAGCACCAGAAATTGTTCCAGCATCAGAAACATTTCCAGCACCAGAAATTGTTCCAGCGTCAGAAACATTGCCAGCACCAGAAATTGTTCCAGCATCAGAAACATTTCCAGCACCAGAAATTGTTCCAGCATCAGAAACATTGCCAGCCCCAGAAATTGTTCCAGCATCAGAAACATTTCCAGCACCAGAAACTGTTCCAGCATCAGAAACATTTCCAGCACCAGAAACTGTTCCAGCAACAGAAACATTTCCAGCATCAGAAACTGTTCCAGCAACAGAAACATTTCCATCGCCAGAAACATTTTCAGCACCAGAAACATTACCATCATATGAAACACTTGCAACACTAGAAACAGTTCCAGCAACAGAAACATTTCCAGTACCAGAAATATTTCCAGAACCATTAACATTTCCAGCACCATCATCAGAAACATTTCCAGCACCAGGAACATTCCCAGCGCTAGAAACATTTCCAGCACCAGGAACATTTCCAGCGCTAGAAACATTTCCAGCATCAGGAACATTTTCAGGATCAGAAATTGTTCCAGCATCAGAGACTTTTCCAGCATCAGAAACATTTCCAGCACCAGAAATATTTCCAGCACCAGAACCATTTCCAGCAACAGAAACATTTCCAGCAGCAACATCCCCAGGAAAAGTATCAGTTCCAGCATCAGGATCATTAATATGGAAAACAGTTCCTGCACCAGGAATAGCCTCAGCATCAGGGAGATCTTCAGTGCTATTACTGGTTCCAATACCAGGAATAGTTCCAGCACCATTCAGATCTTGGCTGGTGTGGGTGGTGTTGACGATTACAGAGCTGGCGTTGAAGATGGTGGCGATGGGTGGCAGAGGTGGTGGTGGTGGAAGGTTCGTCCCTTGGTGCAGGTACAGTGCTGGATAACTCTGCAAATAAATTATGCTGTATAATTTATGTTAATGCCGTTAAAACAAAAATAGTTAAACAAAAGAAACATCTTTTTCCAGTTTACAAAATATTAATAATCAAGCATCTTGGTCGAGGATAATTATAGTATATTGTAATAATTGGGATTGAACAAAATACCTTGATACACCTGCACAATAAGGATATACAACTTTTGCTTAACCTTTAGGCTGTATTTACAGCAATTCAATTAACTATACACGATCACACTGCGATCAATGTTTAATTAGCATTTAGCACTATAAAAATCCAGGATAATTGAGTTTTATTTGTTTTTAAATCCTTAAAATGATCAAGAACTGACATAACAATATTATGAGTTTATACATTAAAATACGCTCATAAGAAAAGTTGGAATTTACCTGAGGGCCACTATCTCTCTAGTGGCCTCGACGAGGACAGGAATTGGGCATCATTGATATTTAAACAAAATAATGTTTGAAACTATATTTGGTATTTTTATGTATTTCTTATTTATATGAAATTTTCTATTATTTTCATAAGATAAGGAAAAGTGTAGTTAAGGCATAACAATTAATTCAAATTTCAAGAACTGAGAACAGTATGTGAATTTAGCAGCCCAACCTCCAATAATGAAGTACTGTACTTATGGCAGCTGTTTGATCAAATGACCACAAATGGACTATTTGCACCCATACAAAAGTTTACGTTTGTATTACTGCAGTCTCCGTGGTGTAGTGGTAAGACACTCGCCTGGCGTTCCGCGAGCGCTATGTCATGGGTTCGTATCCTGGCCGGGGAGGATTTACTGGGCGCAATTCCTTAACTGTAGCCTCTGTTTAACGCAACAGTAAAATGTGTACTTGGATGAAAAAACGATTCTTCGCGGCAGGGGATCGTATTCCAGGGACTTGCCCGAAACGCTACGCGTACTAGTGGCTGTACAAGAATGTAACAACTCTTGTATATATCTCAAAAAAAAAAAAAAAAAAAAAAAAAAATTAGCCCAAATTACATAATAAAAAACAAAGTATCTAACGAACCTAACCTAAGCAATCCTAGGCCTAATATATGCCATCTTAGGCCTAATATGTATATATATATATATATATATATATATATATATATATATATATATATATATATATATATAAGTTTGGTTTTGGCTTTTGTTTTCAAGCCCTCTACAAAAATAATGGTATAAAACATGAACATTGTTGGCTGCAACAATCATTTTTGAGTGTACCAAATACTTGCTTTATGTAATGTTATTTTAGGAGGATGGGCTGAAATTCTGTATATCCAAGGTACAGATAATTCGATACATTTTTTATTATATACTTTAACTTATTTGTAAAGAGGATGCTTATTAAAAAATAACCTTATTATTTTCAAAATTGTGCATAAAGAGGCGCTAATCTTAAAATGATTCAACAGCCTTGGACTATTTGACAAAAACAAAACAAAAAAATCAGTGGTAGTAAAAGAGTACCCGGTTTCTTGAAGTATTGTATATAAACTGAGTTTACTTTAGTCCTAAACTATCTTCAGGACGAAAGTATACGTGCTAGTTGGTCAGCACCTATTGTGGCAGCCTTAATAACCCTCCAGAGGCTCGTAAGCCCAACGCCAAACCCAAAATACAAACACTCAAGTACTCACAATTCCAGGCCAGCGCTTGGGTGGCGTGAGGGACACCTTGGCCTCTTGGTCGTTGAGGAGGATCTCCATCGGCGAAGGAGCGTTGAAGTGCAGTGGTGCTTGTGGCACCCTTCCCACCATGACGTCCGGAGACCCCACACCGTACTGCAGAAGGTGTCGGCGTTAGTGCCACCGTCTCAGAGGCATCGTAGATATAAAATGATAGTAGTAAAGCCAGTTACTACGTCTAGTGTACACGTATTAGCAAATGTTGCTGCACCAAGGACACTGAAGATTATCCTATAGTCTGCTGGAATACTAATTGTTAGACTTATCGGGACCCCCACCCCCCACCCGCTAGGCCAACGACTGACTTTCTCCCTGGATGTAACCCTACAGCAATTGGCTATAACTTTCAGGTGCCTATGTACTGCTAGGTGAAAACGTCACACGAGAGAACACAAGCTACAGTACCTTGCAGAAGGTGACAGCGAGGGCGAGGTAGGCAGCTACAGGGCTGAGTGGCCGGCCAGTGTTCCTGTTGATGAGTCTCTGGAGGCGGGACACCAAACTCAAGTAGCCGTTACCTGTACAGAAGGGCACTAACGCTCGTACCCTCGCCTCCACTGGCGGTGGCGGTGGTGGCGACGACGATGATAGCGGAGGTGGTGAGGATGGTGGTGACGGTGGCGACGATGGTGGTGGCGATGATAATGGTGGTGGTGGTGGTGGCGACTGCGGCGGCGGTGGTGGTTGACGTATTGACAGCGGTGTTAGCGGTTGTACTGGTGGTAGTCGTGGTGGTATCGACGGGGGTGGTGGCGGCGATAGTGATAATGATGGTGGTGGTGGAGGCGGTAGCGGCGGCGGAGACTGCAGCAGTGGTGGAGGTTGAGGTAATGACGGCAGCGTCAGCAGTTGTATGGGTGGTAATCGAGGTGGCAGCGGCGGTGGTGGTGGTAGTGGTGGGGGCAGTAACTGTGATGAAGGTGGCAGTATTGGCAGAGGTGACTGTGGACTCTGCGTTGGTGGAGTGAATAGTGAAGGAGCTTCTGTAGTGGATGACACCTCGCCAAAGATTCCTATTGCTACTGCGGCGCCAATGGCAACTGGTACGGCAATCGGTATGGCGATTGCGAGGAGAAGGCAAAGGTTGACATCGATGTAGCTCATCCGTAACATGCAGATATCTAGAGGCTGTGGCGCTGGGGACACTGTTATTGGTGGCAACGTTGTTGGTGGCACCGTTGTTGGTGGCATCGTTGTTGGTGGATAACAACATGTTAAATTAGGCTGATAAAAACAACATGAATTAGGCCGATAATAACAACATGTTGGCATATAGCCTTGAGTACTATTACAGCAGGTGTTGTCGTCTCTCCTCACTCGCTGCAAGAGTGCTGGAGGTCCCGGACGAGAACCATCACCAAACATCACTACCAACTCACTGGAATTTTCCCATCGCTGAATACCTCTACCTAAAGTCTCCTGGTCGACGAAAGTGTGCCCAGTATGTCCCTGACCTTGGTCCCCGCCAGAAGGAAGCCTTGGCGTCATGTCTAGATCCATGACCGTAGACGTTTGCCAGCGCTTTTCAGCACTAGCTATGACATTCCAGTTTTTACTTTTTCTAACAACTACTAATGAATTATTCTCAATTCCGAATAAAACCTTGGTTATATTTTCTTGGTTCGGAGACCCGACCGCTGTGTTTGTCTTATCACTGGGGTAAGGATCTCTAACACTGGAGGGACCCAGTGCTAAGGCTTCCAGCACGTGACGGAAACTCATAGTTCTGCGCTGTCCTGGCCAAGAGCTGAAGCTCATCCTCCCGCTCCTTGTCGGGCTCCTACTCCTGCTCCTACTTTTCCTGGTTAGGCTTACAGTTGTGTTTCTGGACACAGCAGCGGTGGTGGGGTCTATGCCGCACTCTGCACCTGGTAGGAAGAGGGGACCGTGGTTATCACATACAATATCCAAAACCAGCCGAGGAAACCCGTTTTGAAAGAAGCAGGTCACTACAAATAGATTATTTTCAAAATAATTAATAGAAAAGCCAAAATAATTAGTAGAAAAGTCGTTACCTTGGTTCAGATCCTTTGTAGTGCAGATGTCCCTCACTGTGCTGCTTCTTTCTGTAAGAATATAAACATTGAAAATTAATATTACACTGCTGAAACAAGTAAGTAAATATCAAAAGAAAGCACCTCCGCCCGGGAAGAGTATGTAATATAATACGAAAATGTTTATTCAGGTAAAAGTACATACATTAAAAATGAGTTACGAAACATAATGTAGGATTTCTAGATATATCTATGATTTCTATGTAGCACTAATGCTCAGCGGTGGTGATAATTGTGGTGGTGATGGTGGTTGTTGAAACAAATACGATTTTTTTTTTTACTCGTGTAGGTACAGGAGTAGACGCCTTCTGACTCCTGTTAACAGGCTTAGAGTTCTCCCTTCCCATAGCTCATGTTAACATTACCCTACTACTTTTCGCTGGAACATAACCAGTTATTGTTCAAATTCAAATTCAAATGTTTATTCAGGTAAAGTACATACATACAAGGTGTGATACAAATATTGAAGAATTTATAGATAGAGCTAGTACATACAATGCCTAAAGCCACTATTACGCAAAGCGTTTCGGGCAGGAAAAACACTAAAAACTAAAACTTAATACTAATTGAGATTAAAGTATAAAATGTGTTGAGAAAATATAAAAATAAAAAAGGTTGTGTATGTATTGTATGTCCTTAGAAAATAAGGTTTTAATGTTTGAAACCTGACCGTAGAAAATGCTCCGTTTAACGAGTTGTTTGAAAGTAATATATAATTAATGCATTGTTAAGTCATATTTGGTGCAACTGAAGTTATATGTGTGCCAGAGTCTTCACAGTGACCTAATTTCTCGAAGATTTTCGTGAGAGAATGCATTCCAAATGTAATTTAACCAAAAAATGAATCTTCGCTGAAATAGTGATTTTCTTTGGAATAGAGTGAAAGTGCTACCGACTGAACGTTTTGTTTTGCAGTTTTCGTTTTCTTTTTTCTTTCCATTCGTCGATAAAAGTATAGTGTAAAAAGGGGACTTACTTACCCTGCATACAGATGGGGATGAACTTCCTGCAGGAGTCGGCGCAGAAGATGAGATAAAAGGAAGGGTTGGCCTGGCACTGTCCCAGGATGGACCCCAGGAAGCAGAGCTCGTGCTGATCCCTACAGTCCTCGGACCCTGGCAGAGACAAGGAGGTGTCGCACGGGGTTAGAGACGAGTGGTGTACGTGGAGGTAGATGAGCGGTGTGAGTAGCGGAGATGAGCAGTGTGAGTAGCGGAGATGAGCAGTGTGAGTAGCGGAGATGAGCAGTGGGAGTAGCGGAGATGGGTAAGGAAGACGATGGGTGTGGGTAGAATGAGATACAGTTAGTGTAGAAAGTGAAGGTGGAGGAGAGTTGTGTAGGGTGAACAGGAAAGAGGGGAGGTGGGGAAGTGCTGGAGGAAACTAACGGCGTTATATAACGACGAAGACGATGCTATAGAGGACATAAAGGGAACGATGAAAGAAGAGGGAAATGACAAGATTGCCGATAATAACTAAAGTAATCCTTCAAATATCACAATATCGTTATAGTTATACAAATTCTCGCTAAGGACTCGCAAGCACAGGTGTGTGTAGACTCACACGGGCAGATGTGGGGACTCGGGACTCAAAAGAAAGTGCTCACTTGCAGGCGGGCAGGAGTTACAGGTCCTCGGGCAGTTGACATTCATGAAGGCAGCGTTGAGGTCACACTGTCCCCGGGCACCCAGAGTACCACAGTCTTCCCTCTGGTCCTGGCAACCCTTCACTGTGGAGTGGTGGGAGAGCTATTTATTGTATATTTTGTCAGTTTTTTCTACTTCTCTACCACTAACGAAGTATTTATATAATGCTAACCAGTATATTCATATATTTTGTTATGTGTTCTATATAGACAGGGTTAAAGAGCTAATGCAATGAATTACAAGAGCTAATTACACAATGAATTATTGAACACTTAACTATGAAAGGTAATTCAAGTGTTTTTACAATGCTAACCATTTTACATTTTCGTCTACTCTAGAGATCTGTTATACATAGAGTGCAGTAGTGAGTGTCAATAATTTATGAGTGGTAACATAATTCGTGTGACCAATTCAATTAAAATGATTACACGGAAATGGCCAGCTTACGGGTGCTACGCAAACACTCGGAGCTGTTTTAACCTGCTTCACTAAACTTTAGCCAGTTGCCTGTCACACTGACTTGTAAAGAGGTGTGATCATCTCGCACACAAGACAGCTCGACAAAGGTCAACTTGTGATAGTCAAAACCAATTTATATCGATAGGTTAGAACATATTAGATTAGATTCTGGTGATATATATAATTCATTTGATTTGTCTGCTTTGTAACACTATGTAATACTTTTCCCCAAATAAAATTATTATCACTATTGCTTGCAATGTTAGTCTACACGTGCCTCACTAAATTTCTTTCTAGGAATTGGATTTACATGAGCCTTACAATCTTGTAATTGGGTATACAGCCTACCACACTTTCTCTCTTGTAATTAAGTCAACATCCATCATACTTTCTTGCAATTGGGTCTACATCCACAACACTTTCTCTCTTATAATTGGGACTACGTGCGCCAAAATATTTCCCTCTCTTGTATTTGGATCTACGTGAGCCACGTATATTATCTCTTGAAATTAGGTTTACACACGCTAAACTATCTAATGAAATTGGGTTCACAAACGCCACTCTAGCTTACCTGTAATTGGGTTCACATACGCCACTCTAGCTTTCCTGTAATTGGGTTTACAAGAGCAACACATGCTATGTTGGGTTTGAGCCCTTTTGCACCATACTATATCTTGAAATTAATCCTATGAAGATATTACACTAGCTTTTGGTGTTGGTTTTAATGGGTACAATGTTACTAACCATTAGAATTCGGTTTACAGGTTTGACATGTGCGCTGGCAGACCACGTCCATGTGGGCTGGGTTGTTCTCACACTCCCCCTTAGCAGCCAACTCCTCACACAGAACATCTGTGTCCCGACAGGTGTCTGGGATCTCAAACTCTGGAGGAAAAGTACCCATGGTATTAAATTGTAATTGAACGCTGGGGGGCTAACAAAAGGATATGTGCAAATAGGAGAAAACATATTCAAAATTTAAGGACGAAAAATGAAACGAATTTATAAGTGATAATTCGAGAAGATTAGATTGAATAAACATTGCTTTGATCAAACTAGGGCACAGAACAGAATAGCTTCCTAAACAGACATGGAATTTTACTATAATTATCTAACGTGCAGTATGTGGTCAATTCATCGCCCTTTCCTACCATGTATTAAACAAAATACAGTACAAATATGAACCACACATTTAATATTAATTAAACAGGCATAGAGAAAATATACACATTCATACTCCACATGAGTATAGGTGAAGTACATTAAATTAGCATAGGTCAGGTTATTTAGTGCTTAAGTTAACTATATCTAGTCACATACACAAAATTATTATATACAATTTTGCTACAAATAGACCAAAAATGGGAGACGGTTGTTGTGATGTTTGGGGTTCCTTGCATATCCTAACCTAACTTTCTCCTAACCAAAGCCTAGTCTAACCTAACACATTCAGAATGCCTAAAACAAAGTAGCTAAATAATTTGCCAGAGTTGTAAAATGGGCGCCTTAATACGATACCCTTGTGGCCGTGACTAAACTGGTCATTTATCTTACCACTGCAACACAAACAATGAAACGATTATGTAAACAGCTTGCCGACAAGCATAATATACAGTACATCAGGCACAATTAAATCACAATAACGTGACTGAATTCTCAACCAGAGATATTAGTGCAATTCCACCAATTGCCAATTACATTTTCTCATAGATACATCAAGTTATTGTGAGTTAGTTATGCATTGACGACAGCGTAAGCAGGGGAACTCACTACCTATACCTGAGAGTGAGCGGTTATCTTGTAAAATTTAGATTTGGAATACCTGCGGGTACCCACAATCCATTTTTGTTACGGGATACCAACCCACACTCTGGTAACTCACTACCCACATCTGAGTATGGGCGGGTATCTCTTAAAAATTGGACTGTGGACACCAGATTGCGAGTTCCAAACTTTCAAGTACGTTTAGTAGAACTTTAGTTGAGATACATTTAGTGTCTCAATTAGAAGTACCATCCACCACGGTACAGTGGATGGTAAGCATGTCTAGGGAGTTCAGACGTGTTACTTCATTACTACCCAGATTTATATTACCAAGCATAAATAATACTAGACCTACATGTTATTCCTAAAAAAATACTGTTAATAATATTAGACCTAAATCAGAGATTGGTATGAACAAGTTACTTTTATATGATAGCCTATGATTTATGCTTATATGTCTGGAATATTTTTATATTGATGTACTGTACATATAAACATTTTATCAATGACCTATATCAATGATAACGCTGCTGTTTGTACTCACCCGGTTTCTCTGATCCCATCCGAGTCACCAAGTTAATAAAAATGTATATACTCACTTGTTTCGTCTTTCTCAACAACACCTACAGCAACAACTGAGGAAAAAAAAGGATTAATTCACCTTGTTTTTATGTCAAGGATCAAGAGGAAGAAAAATAACAAACATGTCATATAGAGACAGACCACTTTCTCAAGACAAATATTATATAAGCTTGTACCTAATAGTAGATACGTGGGAACTCTGCTGCTAGGCAGACTATATATTCTTCTGGAAATAACACTTCCTCAACTAATTAACCTAAATGAACCAAAGGGTGATTTGCCTAATGTCCTAATCTAATGAAACAATACTAAAGAGAGCCTAATAAGGTGGGTGTAAGTGCACCAACGAACACCTTGTATTCACATTTTCAAAATGAATAAGACTGAAACACAGATTCCGTGAAAGTAGTTTCTAATTATCCTAACATTTCCGTTAATTATTAGCCTTATTAGTCGCCATTATTGTGGTTGAGGGTGGTGTTTTAATGGATATAAATGATCTTAATTATTGTCAAGAGATGAGTGATAATGTGCATTTTCACTTCCTGTGATAAAGTACCATTTTACCCTCTTCCAGGTTGTAACATGTCATTTGCATTATTCCTGTATATGTTTCCCCTGTACTCCGAAATGACAGCATTAGCTTTACTGGACTTGTTTACTATGAAGCAGGTTCTCCCTCTATGTATGAAGCCTTCTACAGCCCTGTATACGGGAGGGCGTAGTGGTCACCTTCTACGCCTACAGCAGCACCTATGCTTGGAGGAGAGAGCGAGGGAGGGCGAGAGCGAATAATTTCACTGAGTGATGATAACAGAGCTAAATCGTTATAAATAAGCCTTTTTGTGTAAGAGGTTTCTGATTTACCTCAACAAGAATATTATTCATTATACTGTTTTCCGTTTTTACCTGAATTACGAAAGGATTTCTAGTGGCCTTGACAGTCATGAAGCCCTGCTGGATTCTACCATTTCTTAGTAGTCACGACGGAGACAGAATACCCTAAGGGCCACCATCTAAGGGATACCCTCGTGGCTTCGATGGGTATAAGAAGCCTTGAGGGTCACCATCTCTAATGTCCTCGATGGGGATAGGAAACAGGTGCCTTGTCAAAGGTTCTCCATTATTTCTAAGTTTTTTTTTCAGCTCTCCTGGTGTTTACGACTTAAATGGATACGTGATTTCATGGATTTGTTGCTATATGGGTGACAAAGCAGCTGCAGGTTGTCCTCACAGTGGCTTACATTATGTCCTATGCTTCTACATTATGTCCTATTCAGCGTTTTAAAGATTATATTTACTATAGTTATATGTTTTGGCGTGGGAGATGATGGCCTTGAAGAAAACAGAGTTTTTAATGTCTTATTTCACCTTCAGCACTTATTGAGTCTTAATATGTGTTGGAACTAAACAATACGGAAGGGCGGAGGGGGACGCCATATTACATTACGCTGTGCTTAGGGCATCAGCTGGTCTTAATACGGCGTGGGAAAACCCAAAAATCCAAAGTATGCGTTCACACATCATAATTAATAACAATTAATAATTCATATCGCGTCTAGGTTAGGAATTTATTAACTAGCTTGCTGTGTTCCCCTTTGCTAAGGGCGAGGTTGTGTACGTGTTGTTATCCATCAAGTTACTGGGCAGACCCAACGGTTCTTATCCCGACTAACCAATCACTACAGAGCCATGTTAGTGGAATAAGTAATAACGAGAGCGTGCCAGGCGTAGTAAGGAACGCCTACATAACGAATAGCGAATATTTAAGCAATACTTCATCACAAACACGAGTCAGCGTCACCTTATAACCTACACCAGTTGAAATTTGTTATCAATAATATACAATAGTCACACGAAAGAATGAGATATGATTATAAATGACATACAAGAGGTAGTGTAGCGTGCACACAAGTTACAGCACCGCTCCTGTGCCAGGTAAGTCCACTACGAGCTCACCATAGCCCGTGCTACTTGGAACGTTTTGTTCCCAGCAGCTGAATCTTAAACAAGAGCGTAGCGTGGTTGGTACTGACCCTGTGGGCGTGCCGAGGCCAGGAGCGAGCAGGAGGACAGCAGCAGCAGCACACCGCACACTACATTAACCTGCAGGTGGGGGACACGCCTCCAGCCTCCTCTCCAAGACATGTCACACAACACTAAACACTTCTCACTAACACTTTCCATCGCTGCCTTGTGTCTTGCCTCCCAGACACGAGTCTAAAGTTGCTATTGGTGTATCTGTACCGGCGGAGGGATGGGAGCTATAGGGCTCAGGTGGCGAGCTCTGCCCAGGATGCAGTGACCGGAGAGGGCGGAGTAGAAAGCTATATACTACACAGGTGCCAGATCTAAATTGCTGAAAGTAGCGAGCTGACGCTCTAAAAGTAGCGAACTTGTAATAAGAGTAGCCCAATCTTTTTTAGTGAATGATATGGGTTTCAAAGTAATATATTTTGATATATAGAGTACACTACACAATGTTAATTGTTTTATTAATATTATTTCTGCACATACACACACACACATATATTATATATGTGTGTGTGTATTCCCTTGTAACTTGTAACTCACTTGTAACACTTATATGCTGTGCTTTCTATTTCAACCTATGTTAAATGGGATTCTTGTATTGTGATTTGTGTATTTGTACTCACTGAATTTGTGCGCCCCTTGAGGGACTTGAAGTAGAGGGATGGGGGGTAGAAATAACCTAAGCTACTCTATCCCTTTGAGATATATATTTTTTTATTGTCTCAATAAACATACTTGAACTTGAAGTGGATTTTAATGTTTTTTCGGCAGCTTTATTTCCTTAGTTTCCGAGCTGTTTTCTTTACCGTGTATGTTGTAATAAACTATTCCTATATTTACAGTTGTTTCTCCCTGTGAAGATTATTAAACAATAGTGATTATAAGGGCGCGGAAGTTCAGCCTGGCCAGGGCCGCCAGCAGCCCTTGGGCCCGCCCCGGCAGCACCCAGTCTTTAATTTGGCACCTTTGTGGCACCTTTGTGGGACCTTGATGTAAGCCTAACATGAATATATACACACTGGCTGCCTGTCCCCCTTACACAATGATTTATTATTACCTATTATTTTATCATTTAATTTAAATATTAAATAAAATAATTTATTTAATTATTATAGTAAGTACTTAATAATTTAATAATAAGTAGTAAGTACATAAAAATAATTAAAAAGTACAGTTTAGTCATAGGAGATTCCTAGATTGGAATTCACTACCAAATTTCAATATATCCAAGTATTTTTAGTGTGAAATGCTATTATTATATGCATAAATTGTTGTTTTAATAATATTACGCTTAACCACTTGGGCTGGACGGTAGAGCGACGGTCTCGTTTCCTACAGGTCCGCGTTCAATCCCCGACCGCCCAGGAGGTCGGGGATTGAACCATTCCTTTCCACCGTTCCATCCCAAATCCGTATCCTGATCCCTTCCCAGTGCTATATAATCGTAATGGCTTGGCGTTTTCACTTGATAGTTCCCCACCCCCTTGAATAATATTACGAGAGGTTATCTTGAGATGATTTCGGGGCTTTAGTGTCCCCGCGGCCCGGTCCTCGACCAGGCCTCCACCCCCAGGAAACAGCCCGTGACAGCTGACTAACACCCAGGTACCTATTTTACTGCTAGGTAACAGGGGCATAGGGTGAAAGAAACTCTGCCCATTGTTTCTCGCCGGCGCCTGGGATCGAACCCAGGACCCCAGGATCACAAATCCAGCGTGCTGTCCGCTCGGCTCCCTGAGAGCAGTATTTACAGGCTATTCATGCCCGTGCCACCTCTTGGGTGGCTTAATCTTCATCAATCGAGAGCAGTACGTCCTAACAAGACGTGATATGATGATATCCTGAACAGTTGATAAATAAAAGTAATTGCGGAACTCCAGTTATCTAATACTTATCTTAAATGGTATAAAACCTTATCATAAGCCAATGGATTTATTTGTAGATTAGTGTTTAAAGGGAATTCGGAAGTACTAATAACACAGCTGATGCTATCTGTCGGCAGAAGAGAACACTATCAACTGGCTGGTCAACAGTGGCCATAAGATACAGCTTACGCCATCTCTTGACATCAAATTACACTTATAACAAATTACCCTACAAAATACAACTAACGCCATCTTTATTTTTTCCAACGCACTACAAATAGCCAAACAGCAACCCATAAGGCGGGTTGTTGTGCTCGGGTAGGAGGTTCCAAGCTCCGCCCACAAGTGGTATGGGGTGCATAATAAATGACATATCATTGGTAGATATTCTTTGTTGACATTCACACAACAGCCAATCACAGGAAGGGATCAGCTAAAGGCTCCATCCACTTAATAAATCATCTTTATTCAGCACACAATTCTTGCTTATGACATTCTGCTTCAACTTTAATCTACCTAAAAAGTGAAATGTTAAGTATTTAAAAGTATTAATATAGTGATAATTAAATACTGCAGGATGTAACGGGTGTTACAGAAACACTTTGCTGGCTACCTAACTTGTGACGTTATTATTGGGGGTTGCCTTGACACAAATAATGATACACTGCTCTGCCCTCTTATTCGAGTAAATTATTCAGTTAGATGGAGATTTCTGTCAGGTGCAAACAGAAATTGTTGTTCTTTTTCACAACAACCTTGTTGTTGTGCACAAGGACCTATTTTTTAGTTTAAATTTTATTCATAAAAGAGTGTTGGTATTCCCCGCAACAGCCAATCACAGGAAGGTATTTCTGGAAGCTCGGCCTCCTTATGGACTCAGCACATCGCTCTAGCTCATGACTCTGTTTCATCTTTTGTATATACAAACTATGACTTTTTTCGATTAGTTATAATTAATAATATGAGATATAAAAGTTTTTACACAAAATGGCTAAATTCTGCCATTAAATGGACTTTGTCTGGTATACATACAAACATATACCAATTTATTACCATTCATCCATTATTAATTATTATTATGGTTTTGGTAATATGTTTATTTGTGATGTGTGTCTATGTATGTATTAACACGTTGTACTGAACGGGGTGAGAATAGCTTGAGCTACCTCATCCCTTTGTGTGTATTTTACCTCAATAAACTTATTTCAATTTCAATTTCAATTTCCATTATTAATTTCAAATGTAATGTATACTGTCTAGTTTTTTTCCTCTCGCCATTACTTGGTGCAATATTTGAAAGTTGTCTATTTATTTATCGATTTATCTATTATCTTGTATTTATATTTACAAGTTTCTATGCTTGGAAGAAAACTCTGCATTGAATTGGGAATAATTTATTAAATAATATTATTTAGTATTAATTAATATTTACAATTATTATTAATTACAATTATTTAAAGCTTAGTTACTTTCATGTAACTCGCAATCGTACATTCTTAACTTTAATAGCCCAAATTAGCACATCTTGCTTTTAAATTAGCCCAAAAAGTAGCAAGTAGCGAAATTAAAAATTTGGGAGCGCGGGGCTCTCAAAAGTAGCCCAATTCGCTATTTGTAGCCCAATCTGGCAACATTGATATACTGACGGGGGATGTAGGGCACGCTGGCCTGCTTCTACAGTCCCGCCTCTGTAGCATTCTTGTCCTCACTCGGATACTAAGAAGATAACAGAAGATTAATAAGAGGTACAATATCAAAAATAAAAAAATAAATAGCAAGAACAGGCTGAAACAAAAAATAATATATAGAAGCACATGAAGTTAGTATAATTACTTCGTATATATCATATTCCAGTTCCGTGTGATGTAGCGAATAATTTCAGTTCAATAATAGAATCTGGACTTGTAAATGTTCTTTAAATATAGTTAATTTATTTTATCATTGGTGCTGGTCACAATTATAACACAGTAGTTGTTTGCTACACCCAAGAACCAATCCAAAGCAGAATGATGCTGAATATAAGATCTCAATAGGTACTGACATGATCTCGCATGTGAGAGTTAGTGATGGTATCGATGGGTATAAAGCAGAGGGTATAGAGCCTTCAACGCCTGCTTCCGGTTCGTCGTCCTCAGATGGGATGCTTATAACTCGCAGACATTAATCCGCCGACCCGCACGCGGTTATATTTCGGAAACACTGTGCAGCAGGTAAGTTCAAGTTCAAGTATGTTTATTGAAACAAGAAAAAATACATCTCTAAGGGATAGAGTAGCTTAGGCTATATCTACCCCCCGCCCCCATGCAGCAGGTAATCAACAGCAAGCAGTAATTCTTAAGGTCACCGGGCTCTTACCTCGCAGGCGACGTGATAAAGTCGGCTCCTCCCTCAAAGGTGGCGTGACAAAGATGGCTCCTCCCTCACAGGCGACGTGATAAAGTCGGCTCCTCCCTCAAAGGTGGCGTGACAAAGATGGCTCCTCCCTCACAGGCGACGTGATAAATTTGGCTCCTCCCTCAAAGGTGGCGTGACAAAGATGGCTCCTCCCTCACAGGCGACGTGATAAAGTCGGCTCCTCCCTCAAAGGTGGCGTGACAAAGATGGCTCCTCCCTCACAGGCGACGTGATAAATTCGACTCCTCCCTCATAGGTGGCGTGACAAAGATGGTTCCTCCCTCATAGGAGACGTGACAAAAACGATACATCTCCCAGGCGACGTGACAAACGACTCCCCCTTCAGGTGGCATGACAAAGACGGCTCCTCCTTCAAGTGTCGTGACAAAGACAGCTCCTCTTTACGGGCTCACCATAGCCCGTGCTACTTGGAACTTGTTCCGAGTAGCTTTTTTGCAACCACTGCTGGTGGGCACGTAGGAGATGCCATAAGCTTCTTAGATGCATTATGGCATTGCTTGCTAGGGTTAGTAAGTGGTTCTTCATGGCTACTGAAGAATCAGACTTCCCCCCTAAAATGTAAACCTTTATAACCGAATACAATTTATTGCTATTCATCCATATACATGACCCAGAAGTTATATCATACTGTCTAGTTACCTTCGTCACTAGAGTTTTCTCAGCAGCAAATACAACCTATTGTCACATAAACCTGGTAAATATTCCTAGCTTCTGGAAAACTATCATAGGGTATTGTCTCTCTCTCTCTACCAGCTAATACTTAATAGATCTAACACACCGTAAACCTCAGCATATTAGGGTGGGTACACCACTGGCCACTCCCAACACATTCGCGAGTCTAGGCACACACTACACCCCGTTATGTGAACAGGATACACACTACGTCCCAAAATGAGTGTCCAGGTACACAATACACACCAGTATGAGTACCCAGGTCAATAATAATAATAATAATAATAATAATAATAATAATAATAATAATTTATTTATAACAAATAGGGAACCAGATTACAAAGATTACATAGTAGGTCATAATTTGTATATTATAAACTCACTAGTTAAGCGTGGCGTTTCGGACATATGCCTAGGTACACCCTTGTACATGAGTGACCAGGTACACCCTAAAAGTATTTGGGTACAGGTACAATCCAGTACGAATGCCACGTTACACCTTACACCCCCAATACGAGTGTTCACATACAGTATACTCCAGTATTAGTGTCCAGACACACCTTACACTCCAGTATGTGTCCAAGTACACACTATTATGAGTGTCCCAGGTACACACTACACCCCATTTTGAATGCCCATGTTCAACTACACCCCGATATTCGTTCTTTAACCAGCTATGGAGATGAACGAACTTGCATGGCGCTTGACCTTTGATCTCTGGCTGAATATTCCAGCGAGCGAGGCCCGCTAGCTGGCCGGACCCGAGACAAATGGCGGGGCGTGGTCGCGATTATGACGGGAAGTGAACAATGAGCAGGGAAACAGAGAGAGAAAGTGCGGGAAAAAGAAAATGAGGAGAGAAAGAATTCGGGGGAGGAGAGATAATTATGAGAGAAGGAGAGGGAATGGGAGGGTGTTAATTGATTATTCACCCCATACTCATACGACCGTGGGCGGTACTGGAAAAAGGTGAGACAAGATGAGCTCATGAACGGACCCTCAAAACCCATTTAGATAAGTAAGCTACGGCTGTGGTAGGCTAGTTACAGTTCATTGAATATGCAATGCAAACTCAACATATTAACTCCCTGCCAGTTTGGCTTCCGCTCCCAAAAGAGTACAATGATGCCATTATTAGTTTGCTTAATATAATATACACGGCCCTTGACAAAATGAGTTCCCAATTGGCCAATTCATTGACCTGAGAAAGGCCTTTGATACGGTAAACTATAACTACCTCTTACTTAAACTTCACTACTATGGTATCAGAGGCCTTGCCCTAGACTATATTCGTTCCTATTCTCAGTAATAGACACAAATATGTAACCATCAATAGCATAGCCTCCCCCACTCTACCATTGACAGTAAGGGGTGCCACAGGGCAGCATCTTGGCAGCATATAAAACCTTTCTACAATGTACTTTTTCACCTTACCTGATATGTTAGATTAAGGACATGCCCAAAATGTTATGCATGTTAGTGGCTTTGCAAGAATGTAATAATATCACTCAAATGTAATTTTACCAACCCATTGTACCTTCTTGTAAATAAATTATTATTATTATTATATCTACAATAGGTTCAATAACAATCACACATACAGTCTTTAAGCTGAGCAACTCATGTTTACAACTTTCATATTTTCATAATTTGAATTGCTTATCATGCACACCACCACACCTTCCACCCCTACCCTTTCCCCCACATCCAGGGGGCAGCGGTGGAAAGATTATAATCACCCGCATCTACTACCTACTAAACTTATTAGGAGAGTGGGGAAAAGAGAACTCATGAGAAAGGGGAAGTAGATTATGAAGAATATGGGCAAGAAAATAAATAACTGAAAGATATGAGAAAGATGAGGTAAAGGAAGGTACTAATTGCAATAATCACTATAGGTATTAAATACGAAAACTGTGGAGTCTGCTTGAAGTTGCATTATTTCATTCACTATACATGTAAAGAGTGGTGTTCAGTATGTAATGAAAAGACAAGACTGCCGGCTTCCTGTCCTCATCAAGGCCACTAGAGATATAGCGGCCCTCAGGTACCATTCAGGTAAAATAAAACTATGGTTACAGTTCAGATTTTATTAACTCCCCTCCAAACAAAATTAAAACTAAAACATGATGCACCATCAAAACATTGCCCATAATTAATTAATAATCACCAACAGACAGCAAAACTAAATAGCACAATGTAAGATTAAATTCATTACAATAATTATGTAGTTTTCTCAGTAATACATTACGATACATATATAACTGGACGTGTTACTGTGTATGTATTATAATGAGCATGTTTTTCTGTCAAGGAGTTGTGTGGCTCCACAGAGTAACAGCAGCTTTTAGAAGAACATCATTAAATCAAAATGAATGCAGATATAATCAAATTAATTGCTTAATACAAATTTACAGTAATCCATAACTTATGTTACAAAGTTACTATATGTATAATGATATAAAATGCAGAGGGCTTTTTATACTATGTGTGAATATTTATACTGTATGTGAAGAGTTATACTGTGCAAAATTATAATGTGTCAAAAGTGATACTGTGTATGAAGTTATACTGATGTGAAATTATACTATGTATGAAGAGTTATACTATGTGTGAAGAGTTATACTGTGTGTGAAGAGTAATATCATGTGTGAAGTTATACTATGTGTGAAGAGTACAGCCCATCCTCAGGGTAAAGTGATCACACTGAGATACCCGACCCACACTCACACCACCATCAGCTGTGCTGGTGCTACATAGCCGGCTTGGTGCCTTCTTTTGATAGTTACAGTTCTTACCACCGTCTGCTAAAGTGCAGGGTTACCTTTAATTAGTTATGCACAAAATATTTGTATTATAAATATATTTATAAAATGGATTTGAATCCCAAGCCTTTCCAATGGGAGGTCAAGTAATTATTCACTCTACCAAAAGAATTATGAACAATTGGGCAACATGGAGCCCCCTAGAATTGTGGGACCCCTGGGTAACTGCCTAGTGTGCCCATGTGTTAAGACAGCAAGGACTGTTTCACTGTGTTAACTACTGACTGTTTCATTGTGTTTATGCACTACCCGCCCAGTGGGCACAATATCCAAGAGTTAATTCAACATTAAATCAATGTTATCAATGTTGAATTAACACTGATAACATTGATTCAACATAAACAAAAATTATGCTTGGATATTATGCCTATTGGGTGATAATGTAAGGCAGCTCTAGCATGTAGTGCAGTACTAAACATTTTTCAGATATTTAAAGAATTATGCATATTGGTGCCCTATTGGTAAGAGAATTGTGCACTCCAATAATGAACAGTATGGGATGTTACTGATAGTATAAACTGACACTAATAATGTAAAATGGAACTAGAAATTGAGCATGCCAGCAGTGTGTACCAACAAAAGAAGTGGCATTAGTAATGTGTGAAAGTAAAGGACATTAGATGACACTAGAAGTCTGAAGTGGCCTTTGAGTTAGTGTGTTAGAACAGTGAGGTAACCTTCTTCACTGTAATAATGAAAGTTTTAATCTCCATGGGATTAAGAGTTATAGTGAGATCCTCACCACCATGTGCCTGCGGATAATTTTGACCGAATAATACACGGTTAGATTTGTGCGAAGATTTAACATTCCATTCAAAGCGGTTTTCATCTTTTTTCAGAAGGTTTCCAGAAAGTGTAGTTTCTTCAGCAGACACAATCTCCCAGTCAGCAAGCAGACCCTAGGAAAAAAAGTGGTAGATAATAATAATAATAATAATAATACTGTAATAATTTTTATTTAAATTTACAGTGGGGCCTCGACTGAGCCACGACTGGGTCGGCCGTGCCACCAGAAACCACGCAATTGGTCAACTCATACGTGTATCAACAAAGTCGCTAGTCGAGACAAAGATCGTAAGTCAAGTCGCATTTTCCGACGAAATTTACATCGTAACTCGAAAAATTCCTTAGTAAGGGCAGTCGTAAGTCACGGTGCCACTTTATTTAAATACAGTATACATAAGAACATGAACTTACTTGGAGGTTGACAGTAACAGGATCACTGAGGCTGGCACTTTCATGAGCCTCGTACATATGTTCCAGTCGCAGCAAGAGGGAGCCACCCGTCCAAGGCTCCAGTGTCAGCAGGTGAACACTGGCTGGCAGAGAACTCTTCAGGCCTTTCCACTAAACAAGAAAAGCTTTATTAATGGATGGATTTAATGAATAAATATCCATATGATTTTGAGACAGTGTGGCTGGGGGTTAGGTATGGTGCATAAAAGTATGACAGATTTGCCTATAATATATAGGTTAACAGTGGTGGCTCTGTCAGGAAATTTTATATCATTTAAAAGTTATTGTTACAGATGGCTTGTTATTGAAAAGTCTACTCTATTTCTGAAAATCATCTCACTGTTGTATGTGTTTTATGTTTCATGGCTTGTAGAGTAATATACTGCCTGGAAGCTAACATAAAACAAGTTACAGTATAGTTTGAAGAAGATATCCTCTGTTTCTTACCCCTAGTACGATATACAGTATATTTTCGAACAACCAACAATGTACAGTAATACATTTAAAACTACCAATACACCTTCTGTTTTGTAAATCTTTCTTCCTCTCAACTTTTGCTCAATTTGTTATTTTCATAAGTAGATTTAAATTATATTAACTTGCATTATTAATTACTAAAAAAAATTGTAGTAATTATGCACACAGCAGTGTCTTGTAGTAACTTTTGGTGATTTAGTCTTAAGGTAATTTTTTAAGTTTCTGTATATAAAGTCTGTAATAAAGTCTAATTTTTAAATTTTAAGGTATATTTTCTTAATATGTCATTAGAGGAGGAGGAGGAGAATACTTGAGAGCACTATCTGTCAGACTCAGTACTTGTGAAAATTTAAGCTGCTCTCCTCACCACATAGAGCCAGATTCTGATCCTAGCTCCCAGTACAGTACTAATAACAATACAGTAATAATAATAGTAACAATAATACAGTACTGTAATAACAAAATTAATAAATTATTTGCTTACTTTACCTTGGTAATGAAGGTATTTTTCCAAGTGTAGGCAGAAGCAGAAGTGCGGGTAAAGGAGACAAGAGGCTGCAACATGAGCTGCTCCCCAAGACTACGATGCAGACACCCAAAATCACAATCCGGAGTAGCAAATTCACTGAGGAAGAAATTATTTGTTATATACTGCCGTAACTGATTTCAGATTGGATATACAGTACTGTACTGTATATTGTACAAGGTTTCTCAAAGATTACAAATATGCAGTCGAGAACTCAAAATAGCCGTCAGCTAAAGCTTCCTATATATGGTTTCTTGTCCTTAATGGGGCTGCTAGACATCCAGTGGTTGGCATGCAAATTCACTTAAATTTCTCACTTTTATCAGCAATGTTTCTATGCAAATTGAGCACCGAATCATTAACCTTTGTAATTACTAGTGTGAAATTTGTTAATCCTTTTTAATCTTTATCACAGAGTATTATTTAATACTAGATACATAAAAAAATTCCAATACTGTACTGTATAGTATGTTTCATTGTTTAATATCATATTCATTCTCAATGACTTTGTAAATTAAATGGCTTCTCCTACTTACTTAACATATATGTAACACAGAACATATTAATTTAATTTTTCTTACATCAGTTATGCTTTGTAACGCACGTTTATGGACCCCAAACGCTACAGTTTCAACTGTCACATAACCATACAATACCATTCACCAAATACATATAAATTGCCACGAAGAGAAATATCACCACTTATATTCATGGTACATGTAACAAATTCTCATCTATAACATTATCTGTTAAATCCACACCAATACAAATTTTTAGTGCCATTCTGCAACTTTCAATATGTCACGTAAATGGTTCATTCTCTTAAAGACCGTAACATGCATAGAGTTTCAGGCAAATCTTAAAGCTAACAGGAAATTTGCAGTGAATTTTCAGTCAGTTCTTAAAGTTCATGTTTCCTTATTCATGACCCCATAGCTATAATTTCAGAGAAATTATCATTCTTTTTAAATAACTTCATATCTTACTACACTATCTTTCTTTCTTTCTTCTGCTATGCTTATGAGTAAGGTAATGTTGCCTACCAGGGATGAATAACAAATGGTTAGCACTTACCTATGGACAAGGTAGTGTTTGCCTCGTACTACTAGACCTTGATCAAAGGCTGTCTCATTTAGTGCTTCACCTACTCCAAACGCATCATCATGGAGGAGGCGTCTGTGAACCATCAGCTCCATTTGGCCATCCCCTAAGGATGTTCCACCCTGTCATTTGAAGAAAAATACTGACTTACTAACTGTATATGATTATTAGGATTCTTATAAAATTATTGTTCACATAAAGGCTAAAGTGCAAACAAACTTACAAACATACTAAAATGAGCATTAACATACTTTTGATAAGTACGGTCAATCCTCTAATCCTTATGGGGCTAAATATAATACAGTGAAATGCAGTATATAATATTATCATATAACCCCTATTTAAACAGCAAGTGACTCACCTGGGAGCGGTCAGTGAGAATGGCAGCCCGGAAGGAAGGTCCAGCACTGAGCAAGAGTCTAGAGTTCACAGGGTAATAGTTACCAGCAACAGGCTCCTGGTTATTTAATTTCCATGTTGGACGATAGTTCTTAACCCCTGACAATGTAAATATCTGTCAATAAATTTGTCTGTTCTTAATGTTGATATTAAGGTTCCTATAAAATTTGGGTGCATATTTTCTTGCAAAAAAATTAGAAAAAGTAGCAATGAGAAATTAGGTTCTTCTTAACATTACTTTTCAATAAATTAATGATACATAAATCTTTACTTCAAAAGCAAAATGAATCATAGTTTCATCGATGACTATTAAAGAGCAGTTGTGTTAACACAGCATGATGTGGTATGGGTGTGGTATAATGTATGTTTAGAAGATGTGATTGGTAGGAATTGTCTAATCTTAGGAGAAATGTTTTCCATAAAAAGAAAAAAAGACAAAGAAAAGGATAAAGGCAGTGAAGCATGAATAAATAAGAGTATTAGGAGCTCTTACGTCTTAGTATTTCCCGGCCATTGGAATCAGTGTAGAAAGTGCCGCTAGTGTTAACACCTGGCCACACTACACGATTCACGATCTCCTTTCCTATGCCATCTCTGTCAGGATGGGAAAAGATTTACAGTATATGAGTGTTTACACCACTAGCTGGACACATTATTAGACACGAGTACTGTATATTACAAAAAATGTGAGAACCAGATTCACGAGAGTAAAAATATGGCGTTTAATAAAAATACTCTTCTATACTCGTGTTCTTACGATTGATTGATGCCACCAGTGGCAGTTAATTTATTGTACACTCTACACACATCCTGTGAGTGGTAGAGCATAGATCTTATTTCATAACTCCTACCACTTACTCAATAGGTATTGATCCAACAATCCATTCCATTTCCAGTTCTTGCTGTCCCTTGTAGAGCCTGAGGACCTGACTCAACCATGGTGCCCATACTTGGTGTACTTCAGCCACCACTGGGCCTGAGAACATGTCAAAAGAGTCATCGTTGGGATGGTTTTATGAAAATAGTTAGTTATGCTTACACAATCATTTTACAATGCCACAGTTCAAATAAACAAAACAAGAAAACATTCCAACTTCTGGCTGTTGTAAGGAACATTAAAATTTTGTTAATAATGTATTTATTTTAACTAATTTTTCTACAACAGCTTCATCTTTATGAACAGTTTGATGAGAATACTGTAATCATATTAACTTCAAGCGGTAATATAATGGTAATTACTGTAATAATAAAAAACAAAACAACATTTGAATCTCATGCTTTTTTCTTTTTAATAGGTCATAACAAAGGCAAAGTTATCTATTCAACAGTGCAAAAACTTGAATGGAAAATATCCAAGTTTAAAACAAAGTTCAAGAGATGGTTCTTCAAAAACAAGATCCAAAGTGTAGAATGCATACACCAGAATCAGGATTGCAGCAGAGCAGAAATTTGAAAATAACATATCACAAAAATCAAGAACCAGCCAAAACTGACTCATAATCATATACAGTACAGAAGATACAGGAAAGCATCTTGCAGAAAGTGACAAGGTGAGTGAGGCACTCACCAAATGAATTCAGGTCTACAACCCATAACAAAAGAATAATCAAAGATAGCAGACTGCAGATGCCCAGGAGCAGCACTAGACACTATTGTAGTCAGTAAGGAGGTGGTAAGAAGAACCCTCGAGGAATTAGATATATTAAATCCTTTATTATTGACTACTCAATGAAACTGAATATAAATTTTTGTTAAAATTCAGCTATTCACTTTTGACCATGTCGTAGCTCAGTCGATTAAGGCAGCGTCTGGGATGCTCTCGGACGCAGGTTCAAATCCTCGTCACGGCCCTTGTGGATTTGTTCAGCTATTCACATTCTCATCAGTGTTAATGGCACTAAATGCAGGTTTTACAGCACTGACAATGCAACTCATTTATGTTAAAACACAACTGAAATATTTGTTATAGCACAAAAACTAGAACCGACCTTCTACAATAGTAAAGTTGGCTTGTAATGCGATGGGCAGTGCATCAGTGTTATTTGGCCGGAAGATGTAGGCTCCAGATGCTCTGCTTTCTTCGTTGTCATTGTTACCACTCATTCCAGCATACCACAGGAAAGTTTGGTTTACCTACACAACATCAAATGCGTTAAAATAAGTAAGTGGTCAAAACATACAGTACAGCATTTAAAATTAAAAATATTTGTGAGGTATAAAAGGGCCTGACAACTGAGTGGACAGTGCTCGGGATTTGTAGTCCTGAGGTTCCGGGTTTGATCCCTGGTGGAGGCAGAAATAAATGGGCAGTTTCTTTCACCCTGATATCTCTGTTTACCTAGCAGTAAATAGGTACCTGGGAGTTAGACAGCTGCTACAGGCAGCTTCCTGGGAATGTGTAACAAAAGGGAGTCCTGGTCGAGGACAGGGCCGCAGGGATGCTAAGCCCCGAAATCATCTCAAAATAAGGTATCAATAAACAATTCACACAAATAAACATATACTGTACTGTAAATTAACACATGTGCACATTTCACTCCCTTAAACACTGTTAGGTTAATGAACGAAACACATTTGAAGCAACGGCCATGGAAGTAATCTTGACTTATAACTTCACGATCAAGTATAACAATAAAGTAGAACATGGGCATGTATAAATTTATCAGGTATAATGGATATGAGGAGGAACTCCTAGATATATCTCACTCCTTGTAAATCCAGGTGATCATTTACAGGTAAGCATACCCCAAGGTAGCATACTTGACCCTAGAT